GGCTGCGGGGCCGCAAGGGAGGTGGCGGGGCCGCGGTGGAGAATGTCGGCAGGGTTCGCGACGAAGGGCGGCAGGGGTCGCGACGAAGGGCGGCAGGGGCCGCGACGAAGGGCGGCAGGGGCCGCGACGTAGGGCGGGGCCGCGACAAGGGGCGGGGCCGCGACGAAAGAGGCGGGGTCGCACGCCTCGTGGCGGGGCCGCGACGTAGGGCGGGGCCGCGACAAGGGGCGGGGCCGCGACGAAAGAGGCTGGGTCGCGCGCCTCGAGGCGCGCGCCAGAAAGAAAATCGCCGCGCGCTGAAAATAGGTCGCACGCCGCGGGGCGTGCGACAGATCGAGTAGCAACGGAAGCAGTAGTAGGGCCTTAGGAACAGTTCCCACGAGGGAACCTGCTCGATACCATGTGAGAATTGAAACGAGAATGAATCAACTATGAAATGAGTTAGTACAAGTACTAACCCTAATTGGGTTGTACCCCCTATGGGATACCCCACTATAACCTACACAAATGTATAAGCTATATAGCATTCTGACAGAATTTCTTCGTGTTGTCTTGTTGTCACGACTATTGCTGCAGCATCCCTCGTGACTGCCACCTCGAAAACCCCCGCGTGGCAGTATCGAATCACTTGACTGCTGCCCAATCTCCAGTTGGCAGCTGCTGCAATCTTGAAATTGCTGCCGTTTGTCTTGTTTGCAGGCGAAAATCCTCGCTGTAGCTTCTCCAGCTGTCGGTGCACCCGGCCGTCTTGTCCAGGCTCGCTGAGGCCCTTGTCGCATTGCTCCGAAAACTCCCGGGCAGGGACGAAAACAGCTGCTGCTCTTCCCCCTGACCTCGCCAATATTTTTTCAAACACGAACTTGAACTGCCGCTGACGTTAGCTGCATTATCGGTGTTGTCGTGACTCGCCGAAAACCTCCGGGCAGGGGCGTAAACAGCTGTCGCCTTCTCCCCCCCACCTGTTGCAAAATTTTCCCTCGTGTTGCGGCTGGTACCCCCGAGCAGCTTCCGATTTGAACGGCTACACACTTTGACGACGAGTGCCTTCGCGCGCTTAATCAAGCAACACTGCAGTCGGCCGTCGGCACGGATACTGTCAGCGACCGCGCTGACTCCGTTAAAAACTCTTTTCGGAACTACTTGTTGCACCTGTAAATGTCGGAAATTTCCACACCACGTAAAGTCTTGGTCGCCTGCAGGTTGCCCCCCGAAAGAACCGGTGTGTCTAGCGTGCCCACCCGTCGCCATTTTTCTCTCCATGGTTAACTACACTAGCAACCCACCAACAGGATGTGCTCTTTCGTGCGAAACCCGGAGTCATGGGTCTACCGGGACCGAATTTCACAGAACCTAGCCCGCATCAACGCCGAAGATCTTGCCGTAGAAGTTCCCCAGCTGGCTTAGAAGTACGCCGTAAGCCGCTGAAACAGCTGGCGAGTAGACGTTTACCCGTCTCCCACCGTTGGAATAAAACCCCGAAAGTCATGGAATAAAGCAGTCTCGAAGTATTTTCCGCCGCATTACCCCGACGTTTCCGCCGTTGACCCTGGTACTCTGACGTTCACCCGTCTTCGTACCCGTCGAAATTACTTAGCGAATCCCAGGTATCCTTGGCGATACACCGCTCGCCGCGCCTCCATGTAACAATATCAAACCCTTTCGGGGGTCTACCGAATAGACTCCGAAATTCGCGGTGGATTGGTGTACGGGCTCAACCTTTCACTCTGGAGATTTGCTGGAGCGCCCACAAATTTCCCTCCATTTTTTTTCCCACCCCCCGACAATTTCGCTTGCCGCCATTCACCCAGTGTCCGCTTTTGTCGGATGAGGTTTAACTCCGTGTTGCCCGCGATTTTTCTGACATTCGGTGAAGGCGCGAATGCTATCGTAGCCGGGTCATGTTTATCGGATCAAACAGTCGGACCGGCCGCTTCGTTGCCCACCGCGTCTATCGCATTTAAAACTCCACGGCTTCGGAAAGCCCCTTCTTCGCCGCTACACCATGTCGGGTAGACCGTTGAATTAGGAGCAAACTCCGACAGCTGCACCAACTTCTTCAGCTCCGACTTTTTCGGCGGGGTAACTGCTGCCGATGGTCCGGTTTTGTCGGGGCCGAAACATTGTCGCTCCCAAAATTTTTCTTGTATGCCCTGCCGTCGAACCAGCGTCACCCGCGCCTTTCTAACCAGCACAGGGCTAAACACAGGGCCCCACCTTTGGATCCAGTGGCCTATAGGACTACACCTTGCCTTCGAGGCCTTCTGGGCGTGAGGTATGTGAAACGTCGGTAGACTTTGGCCGGTAGGGAGCTCCTTCTGCTACCGCCGCTTAGCCGCAAATCTCGGCCTCAACAAAAAGTCGTCGCAGTACCTCCTTTTCTCCCCTCTTGAAGCTCGGAATCCGTTTCTCTCGCCAGACCCGAATTTCTCGCAACTCCGTTTATTGTAGCCGGTAGACCTGGCGAAATTCGTGGGTCTAGTTGCTGCGGCAAACCGTTGTCCTCGTCGGTGTACTGCCCCGTCTGCGACACAACTTCCCTTGATCAGGGGGAATCTGTGCCGCCTGAAGTACAGTGTCGGCTGCTGCTGTTGCTCCGAAGATTTCGGCCGACTTTGTTGCAGGCGCAGAAGTGACCCTAACGAAAACAGTCTAGTCGTAGGCGGCCTTTTCCGAACTTTTCGGCGGTTTGAAAATAACTTCCGTCCCACACTGTGCCGCTCCTGCCGAAAACGCCAACGACGCACCCTCCTGTAGCCACACCGGCCACACCCGGGCTGGAACGACGGTAGACCCCCGCTTTCTTCGGGTAGTTGTCACGCCGTCACTCCACGCCGCTGCATTTTCTGACGCAAATCACCATGCGCATGGCTGCTCGCACAGCAGTCGTTTTCCACGTGCTGCTACCCGAAATCTTCGCGCACAGTGACCACGATCGTCACTTGCCGAAGACCTCCAACGGACTGATTCGCATGTGACGAAGATGCTCGACGCCACGTGCTGCATGCAATCCGTTCCGAAATTGTTGCACGCAGTTGTCGACCACATGCCGACGCAACTCGCACGACGATCTTGCTTCCGACATCTTCGGACGTGCACTGACGGAGATCCTGTCGACGTCAGCTGCCACACAAATTAACTCCAAAAATGCCGAAACGAATACTGTTAATTCACGCATTAACTGCGTTGACAGCAAAAGCTGTCCGCCACCCGGGGGGAGGGAGGCCACGGTCCATCTCGACCGTCGAGGGCAAGGATCCGTCGGTGCAGCAGGAGCGCCCGTAAAAACATGGCCGATAGGAGCAACTATCCGTTCTCCTGGCCGGCTACTGCGTTGCTCATGTCACCACGGCATCCTTCCCTGTCCCCCCCCCGAGGGGTAATACACTCTAAACAACGGGGAACCTAGGAACTTAGGCTCTGATACCAGGTGTTATGAGATGTACTAAGAGTGCGCGGAAGACTTTATTAAAAGGATGTCGAATCCAGAATGTCAAGAATGATAAAGAGGCATCCATTTATAGGGTCGAAACCGTGGTAGGCGAGGACCTCAGGACGTGGATGGGTTTGGAAGTGTCGCGATTGGTGCGGGGCGACTCGGGGGTGGTTCGGGCCGAAGTGTAGGCCGAACCTCGAAACTGACGCGAAGTGCTCGGGGTCGTCCTCGCTAGGAGCAGCCTCTACAGTAATGAATTCGTATTCATTACAGTCTCTAAGGCCCGGTTCTGTTGCCGCACTACTGGTGCGGACCCCTCCGCACAGCACCAGATGATGCTTCGTGAGGGCCTCTACCGGTGGTCCTCGAACATTTCTTTTCAAGGGCGCATTCCTTGAATCAGGCTCGGGACCTTGAGCTCCATCCCGAGTCTGGCCAGTGCTGTGCTGTGCTGTGCGGCCCACATAGCGCTAAAGAACGAGGAACTAGTAGTGCTGTGCTGTCCTCTCCTCCCAGGCAAACTGGGTGCGAGACTGGTGCGAGGCTGGTTCCCGCTCGGATCGCGGACCCAGGGACATCACAAGTAGTTCCGGGCAGGGACAAATGCCCCGAAAAAATAACTTTACGAGGGAGGGCAATGACCCATTGGTGAAGAGAAATGTTTTGGGTACTGGTTGGCTGTATTGCTTCGAACCAGCCAATTATTGTCGCGGAAAATATTTAAACGGTCAGCCAAGCAAAACTTTTACGAAGCTCCTCTAGTTGCGCAGAGGGTGGCAGGAAGCTGTTTTGCACCATGGCTTCGCGGAAGCACCCGGCCGCACCCGTGGTGCTGTGCTGTACTGTCCGCCCTCCTTTTGCCGCTGGGCAACAGAACTGGGCCTAAACCATGGCGAATCAGATGCAGAACTGCTGTGGCTCTGGCCGACAGCGCAGAACGTCGCATCCTGTTCTTGCCGTGAAAGCAACGCGCTTTGCTCTGTCAGGGAATCGTCTCGTGGCACTGGAATGTAAAAAATCTCCAAGAACGACATTCCCGCCACTAGTAGCAGACTCGCTGTTGCGTTTACACTGTTTCTGCACTAGCAAATTTACACATCAATTGGCGTATAATTTTCGCTGTCACCGCTGCATCAGCAAATCTGCATCAGCAAATAGTCGCCAGCGTTTAATTCATCTGGTTCACAAGACCTTTCGAATCGCCACTGCTAGCCCTCAGCACTTGGCTCATTGTCGACACAGTCACTAACCCTAAGTCGACTGAAAAAAACGAATCCAGAGCCAGCGCAGTCACGTACCTGAGCGTAGCGGAAAACATACGGTGGCAGCTAATCAAAACCCAAGGTCGTACGCTGTGGCTGACAGACGGTTATCTTCTAAGGTCAATTCTCCATACGCTTGCGAAATCGGCAGTTTATGTGTATTTATTGGTAGACCTCCTCGGCTGACTTTGTATTCGGGAAGAAACAACTCGCATATATCCTCTGTAGAGTCCTTCAATAAGGGGAATAACAAGCACAGCCGAAAGAAAGGGGCGGGTTTGACAGGAGGAAGGAGTTCGGGAACTATGCAATTTATATGGGGACTGAAGAGTGCCCTGTCGGTTCTGAACCCGCATCACCCGCACCAGCACCATCGCCATAAAGGGCCAAAGCGACCAGAGACCAACATAGCTGATGACGTCACTCAGGTACTCCGTTGCTCTTCCATTGTCAGGTATACCGCTCTTTTTACTCCTGCCAATCCATGATTGCTGACCTCCCAGCTGATCAGTATATACCGCCATTCCCTTGACCAAAGTTCACCTGAACTAGGTGATATGAGTGTCGGTGGGGAGCATTGCGCGTAGCCTGGGGCTAAGGAGGCTCATCATATCATTGCGGTTTGAGATGTCTCAAAAGGAATTTGAACTCGGTGATATAAACGTCGGTGGGGAGCATTGCGCAAGCTGAGGCTCATCCCTCCATCCCTCCTCTGCTCTCCTTTCCGTGCCACATCCTGCAGCACCCGGCACGCTCCCCAGCTCATCGGTCGCACGCCCGTGGTGTATGAGCAAGGTGGTAGAGGGATGTGTGGGGAGCGTGGCGTGCAAGCTGACGCTCATGGCTTCCTCTCTCCCCTGCCCTGCCACAGCTGACGCTCATGGCTTCCTCTCTCCCCTGCCCTGCCACTCCCTCGCACCCCCAGCTGATCGCTCGCACGCCCATGGTGTCTCTTAACTTAATAAGGACTCGGAGGGGTGCGCGGGGGGCATAGTGTGTCTGACTGACATCTTGACTGCTCCACACTTCACCCCTCCACCCCCTTACACCCCCAGCACATCGGTCGCACGCCCGTGGTCTACTTTAACAAAGTGTCGGAGGGGTGTGTGGGGAGCATCGCGTGCAGAGCCATGTGGTGTGGAAGCATCAAGGAGACAAGGACGGCTGACAAGCTGAGGCTCATCGCTTCTACTCTCCCGTACCCTGCCGTGCCACCACCTCACAACCCCAGCCCATCGGTCGCACGCCCATGGTTTACTTGAACCAACTGGCGGAGGGGTGTGTGGGGAGCAGCGCGTGCAATCTGAGGCTCATGACTTCCTCTCTCCCCTGCCCTGCCACCCCGTCACAAGCCCAGCTCATCGGTCGCACGCCCATGGTTTATTTGAACCAACTGGCGGAGGGGTGTGTGGGGAGCATCGTGTGCAAGCTTGAGGGCATGGAGCCGTGTGGAAGCATCAAGGACCGCGTGGGGTACAGCATGATTGCAGATGCGGAGGAGAAAGGGCTGATTAAGCCAGGCAAGGTGATTGCTTGGGAGTGGACAGCGAAGGGAGGGATCTGAGGGCGTCTGATACGTGTTTGTGCGTGTGTGTAAGAGCATAGAGCCGTGTGGGAGCATCAAGGACCGCGTGGGGTACAGCATGATCGCAGATGCGGAGGAGAAAGGGCTCATCACATCAAGCCAGGCAAGGTGTGTGTGCTGTTGTGGGTGTGAGGGACTTGTGTGCATGTACATGTAAGACTGTGCCGCTGTGTGGGGAGCATAGCGTGCAAGGTGCAGCCGTGTGGGAGCATAGCGTGCAAGGTGCAGCCGTGTGGGAGCATAGCGTGCAAGGTGCAGCCGTGTGGGAGCATAGCGTGCAAGGTGCAGCCGTGTGGGAGCATAGCGTGCAAGGTGCAGCCGTGTGGGAGCATTAAGGACCGCGTGGGGTACAGCATGATTGAAGACGCGGAGGAGGTGACTTTTTGAGGGGGGTCACATATGAAGCGTGCTTCCGACAGGAAGTGGCTGTCAGACATTCTCTCGTTTCACCGTGTCTATGATCCCTACGAGGAGGTTTCCCACTCGCATATGATCAGCTGTTTGAGTGCTGTGGCTGTCTGGTGTCACCTCGCCGCCCATAATCAACCTCTCATGCCACAAGTGCGAAATTTGCACCAACAACTAACGGACCCGGGATCATGCCTGTGACAAACTCAACGTGAAAGAGCAGGGAGGTTGAACAGAGTAGGGGCAGTTTGAGAGAGAGGGAGTTGCTTGTAAAAACACATTAATGCCATTGATGTGCTGCATCTGAGCGACGATGATCTTGCACTGGTTGGTTGGGAAGCACGGGTTGTCGCAAACATAATCCCGGGTCCGATGGTTGCTGGTGCAAATTTCGCACTTGTGGCATGAGAGGTTGATTATGAGTGCCAAGGTGACATCAGGGGACCACTATACCGTGGGGACGATGTCAAACAGCTGATTGTCCGCTCCTACAACCGGAATCACCACCATCAGCGAGTGAGAAACCTTCTCGTACGGGTCATAGACACGGTGAAATGAGAGAATGCCTGGCAGCCACTTCCTGTTTAAGCTCGCCCGTGTGTGTGTGCATGTAAGAAAGGTACCTTATCTCACCTGTTACTTCCCCCCTTGTTCCTGTGTTCCCCATTTCTCCTCTCTGTGTCCCCCCAGAGCGTGCTGTTGGAGCCGACATCGGGCAACACGGCCATCACATTCTATTCTGTTATTGTCATGAACCCCCCTAGCTCCTCTCCAAATCATTGACCAGACCGTGCTGTTGGAGCCTACATCGGGCAGCATGGGCATCAGAGGTGTCTCTCTGTGTTCCCTTTCTCCGCTCCCATATACCCTGTCTGTCAGTGCGTGCTGGTGGAGCCGACATCGGGCAACACGGGAATCAGAGGTGCCATTTTCCTAGTTACAGATCTCCTTGTCCTGATTTCCCTCCCCATCCACTCAGAGCGTGCTGGTGGAGCCGACGTCGGGCAACACGGTCATCAGAGGTGTTGTTTTTCTATGTTGTCCTGTCTCCTCCCTGCCCCCATAATCCCCCTCAGAGTGTGCTGGTGGAGCCGACGTCGGGCAACACGGGCATCGGCTTGACCTCATGGCAGTCCCTTGTTCTCTTGTGTCCCTCTGGCCCTCTCCCTTTCCTCCCCAGAGCGTGCTGGTGGAGCCGACGTCGGGCAACACGGGCATCGGCTTGGCGTTCATAGCAGCGGCGAGGGGCTACAAGCTCGTCCTCACCATGCCCGCCTCCATGAGCCTCGAGCGCCGCGTGCTGCTCAAGGCCTTCGGGGCCGAGGTTGTCCTTACCGACCCTGATGAGGTGAGTGAGACTGTCTTGACTCGCCTTGACTTTAGCAGGTCTACAAGCTGCTCAAGGCCTTCGGGGCCGAGGTTGTCCTTACCGACCCTGACCGGGTGGGCTTGTGCTTATCGACCCTGACCAGATGATGAGCTTCGGACCCGACCCTGACTCGTGAGATTGTCCTTACCAAAAATCGCATGACCAGGTGAGTGATTGTGAGACTGAGTCGTTTTCAACCCCAAGGTGGTGCAGACCTGGTCCTCACGGACGGTCCCTGACCAGGTTGGCTTGTCCGTACTGGCATTGATCAGGTTGGCTTGTCCGTACTGGCATTGACCAGGTGGGACTAACTTGCCTTGACCGTACTTCATTTGCACCGATTAATTATTCCATGCACCCCGACTTACTGACACTGGAATCCTCTTTGTCATTACGGATTTCAACCACACCATGTTGAGTTAAGTAGGTCAATTTTGGGAGGAGCCTTTAATGTTCGAATTGAGTCTTTGAGACGCCTCAAAAACTCACTCATTTGGGGAACACCATGTTGAGTAGGCCGATGTCTTGGGGAATCGACACGGCGTCTTGGGAAATCGACACGGCGTCTTGGGAAATCGACACGGCGTCTTGGGAAATCGACACGGCGTCTTGGGAAATCGACACGGCATCTTGGGAAATCGATACGGTGTCTTGGGAAATCGACACGGCGTCTTGGGAAATCGACACGGCGTCTTGGGAAATCGACACGGCGTCTTGGGAAATCGACACGGCGTCTTGGGAAATCGACACGGTGTCTTGGGAAATCGACACGGTGTCTTGGGAAATCGACACGGTGTCTTGGGAAATCGACACGGTGTCTTGGGAAATTATACGGTGTCTTGGGAAATCGACACGGTGTCTTGGGAAATCGACACGGTGTCTTGGGAAATCGACACGGTGTCTTGGGAAATCGACACGGTGTCTTGGGAAATCGACACGGTGTCTTGGGAAATCGACACGGTGTCTTGGGAAATCGACACGGTGTCTTGGGAAATCGACACGGCGTCTTGGGAAATCGACACGGCGTCTTGGGAAATCGACACGGCGTCTTGGGAAATCGACACGGCGTCTTGGGAAATCGACACGGTGTCTTGGGAAATCGACACGGTGTCTTGGGAAATCGACACGGTGTCTTGGGAAATCGACACGGTGTCTTGGGAAATCGACACGGTGTCTTGGGAAATCGACACGGTGTCTTGGGAAATTGACACGGTGTCTTGGGGAGCCTTGATCATTTGAGCCATCCTTTTGAGTTGACCCAAACGTCCTTCTGATTCTCTCGTTGCCTCTATCCCAATGTTTGACCCGTTTGATTTCCACACCCCCTCATGTCACTTTTGCTGTTGTGGGAGCTTTTGAGCTCCTTTCGTGCCCTGAGGGCCCTCATGACATGACTAGTCCGTGCGCAACGCCAGGGCATGAAAAGAGTTGTCATTCGAGCCTTTTGCATCAACTCGAATCGTTGTGGCAATCAAACCACACCCTTCTTGACGGCAGGGCATGAGGGGAGCGATCCTTTGGGCCAAGGAGGTTGTGATGTGAGTGAGCCACTCCAAGCACGCCTTCATGCTTTCGACCTCCAAGCACGCCTTCATGCTTTCGACCTCTGAGTCGATTCATAAGTCGTGCTGTTGCTTTGACGTGCATGATTTGACGGCAGGGCATGAGGGGAGCCATCATCAAGGCCAAGGAGATCGTCAGCCACTCCAAGCACGCCTTCATGCCTCAGCAGTTTGAGAACGAGGCCAACACCAAGGTGGGCGGCAAATAACGAGGTGGGAAAAAAAAAAAAAAAAAAAAAAAACAGACAACAACAACAACAGCAAACAAACAAAAAAACAGATGAATGTTTCGTTAGTGCAATACTACCACCCATAGAATTACAAAACGGCTTAACATCTTCTTGTCCTTGTTATCTCTACAACCGATAACCTTGTTTTTCCCGTGTGCTTGCAGCAGCTCTTTCACTTGATTGCCACCCATTTAGCCCCTAACGAGGTGACTTTTGAGTCGACTCAAAAGTGCAGCTCTTTCACATGTTTGCCACCCATTCAACCCCTCCTATCATTTCTACTTTTGAGGCGCCTCAAAAGTAAACCCCTCCTCTCATTCTATCTATCTCAGATTCACTTTGAGACAACAGGGAGGGAGATATGGGAGGACACGGAGGGGCCCTTTGGACTTGCCTGTTTCTTCTCCTCTAACTCATCGGCCCTTGGGCCGCTGCCACTTGCCACTCGAACCCCTCCTCTCATTCCATCCGTCTCAGATTCACTTTGAGACGACAGGGAGGGAGATATGGGAGGACACGGAGGGGCGAGTTGATGCGGTGGTGTGCGGTATTGGCACTGGTGGCACAGCGATGGGCGTGGGACAATATCTCAAGAGCAAGAAGCCGAGTGTGAAGGTGAGGGGGGTTGTAGTGCTAACAGCAGAAGGGGGGTTTGGAAGGTGTGGGCTCCGGTGGTGTGCGGTGTCGGCACCGGTGGCAGGGCCATGGGTGTGGGGTGGGATAGTTTCTTAAGTGCATGAAGCCGAGCGGTAAGGTGGGGCGGGGTGTGCGGTGCCGGCAGCAGAAAGGGGGCTCTGGAGGGCGTCGGCAGGAGTGTGGTGTGGTGGTGTGCGGTAGTGACAGTGGCAGTACAGCCATGGGCGTGAATGTGTTCCTCAAGGGCAAAGGGACGAGCGTGAAGATGAGGGGAGGTGTTGTGCTGGCAGCAGCAGAGGGGGTTTGAGGGTGTGGGCACTGGGCAGGCGTGTGGTGTGGTGGTGTGCGGTAGTGGCAGTGGTAGCACAGCCATGGGCGTAAAACAATTGCTGTTCCTTCCATGGGCAGTGAATCTGTTCCTCAAGGCCAGGAAGGATTCGTGCAAGGGTGTTTTTGAGAATTCTCAAGGCCAGGAAGGATTCGTGCAAGGGTGTTTTTGAGAATTCTCAAGGCCAAAAACACCCTACATGGGCAGTGAATCTATTTTTCAAGGCCAGGAAGGAGTCTTTTTGGCCAAGAAGGCCAGGAAGGAATCGTGCAAGAAGCCAGGCGTCAAAATGATCAGTCTGTCTTGAAATTCATTGGTATAAGAAGAAATGAGCTCTTATCTGTACAAAGGCATCACAGTACGTCCACACTAGCATACACCGCCATACACAAGAGCCATCAGCAGTGTAGTTTTCCCCGTCATCCCTGTTTCGCATGCATGGCAGATGATTGCAGTGGAGCCTGAGGAGTCAAATATCCTGTCAGGTGGATACCCAGGTGAGAACTCTGTCAGGTGGATACCCAGGTGAGTTCAATGGCAGAGATGGTGTGAGTGGATGGTGGAGGTCCAGTTGTATTCTTCCATTATTATATATCTGGTGGGTGTGTAGTGTGATGTGGTAACGTAATGTGATCCACCTTGTGTAATGTCATCCACCTTACCCACCTTGTGTAATGTGGTGAGCAGATTCTTGTAAAAAAGGTGGATAATTAGTGTTCAATGATGGGCGGTGGATTGTGGTGCTTCGATTTGTCTGAAGCCACGAACTCATGGCCATACAGCGCACCATACCACGCCACACCGTATCACGCCACACCGTATCACGCCACACCGTATCACGCCACACCGTATCACGCCACACCGTATCACGCCACACCGTATCACGCCACACCGTATCACGCCACACCGTATCACGCCACACCGTATCACGCCACACCGTATCACGCCACACCGTATCACGCCACACCGTATCACGCCACACCGTATCACGCCACACCGTATCACGCCACACCGTATCACGCCACACCGTATCACGCCACACCGTATCACGCCACACCGTATCACGCCACACCGTATCACGCCACACCGTATCACGCCACACCGTATCACGCCACACCGTATCACGCCACACCATATCACGCCACACCATATCACGCCACACCATATCACGCCACACCATATCACGCCACACCATATGACACCACACCATACTACGCCACATTATGCCTCACCATGCCCCACCGCACCACACCAAACAGGGCCGCGCACAATCCAGGGTAGCGCAGTGTGCGTGCTGAGGTCATCAAACCATGCCCCCCACACCATGCCCCACTACACCACATCACACCACACCACACCACACAGGACCGCACATGATCCAGGGCATCTGATCTGAGCGAGTGATGAGGTCTTCGAACCATGCCTCCCTATCCCTTAATCACCACACTTTACCGCATTCCACCACGCAGGACCGCACATGATCCAGGGCATCGGAGCGGGCTTCATTCCAAGCATTCTGGATGAGAGCATGCTGGATGAGGTCATCGCGGTGAGTGCTGATGTCACCACACCTCACCGCACCACACCACACCACACCACACTGCACCGCACCATACCACCACCATTCTCGATGAGAGCATGCTGGATGAGATCATTGCGGTGAGTGAATGCTGATGTCAGCATGGTGATGGGTGCCGCTGATGTCATCCCGGTGGGTGCTGATGTCACACACCACACTGCACCACCATTATGGACTAGAGCATGCTCGATAAGGTCGATGTCACCACAGTGACGGCCGATGTTTGCGGTGTGCTGAGGTCAGCTTGATCTGGGCTGATGTCATCCCCGTGGGTGCGGGTGGCATCACAGTGCCTCCTGTGGTCATCACATTCAAAACAGTGAGCAATGATGTGCCAATTTCATGCCCATGTCGTAAAAAAGGCCCACCGTGACTTCTCTCCCTCCATCCCCACCCCTGCCAGGTCAGCAGCGACGACTCCATCCAGATGGCGCGCCAGCTGGCACTCAAGGAGGGCATGCTGGTGAGTTGAGCCTCGACTTGTGCGCTGTTTCACACGCCCGTTGTGCTGCCACTTGTTGCTGCACTGCATCTCAGCGGGAATGGAAAGCATGCACGCACGTCAAAGCACGCCAGTGAACACCACACTGGCGTGTTCTTCTGGAATTCGTAGGCAGAATGCCAAAGCCTTCCAGTATGCGAGCGTCGTTTGGTATCCTGAGATTCGCCAGTGGTGTGGGAATGTGATCTCATCTCAGGTGCTTCCATCCTCACGCCTTTCTACTTTCAGACCTCTTCCTGTGTCCATCTTTTTTTTGGTTGAAATTATATCCATTTCAGGTGGGCATATCGTCTGGTGCGGCGGTGGTTGCTGCGACCAATGTGTGTTTTGTGTGTTTCTCTGCTTGTGTCTCGTTTTGATTGCAATGCCTTGGGATCTCAGGTGGGCCCATCGTCTGGTGCGGCGGTGGTTGCTGCGATTGAAGTTGCAAAGCGGCCCGAATATGCTGGGAAAATGGTGGTGGTATGTCTCTCCCCTAACCTGACACCCCCCCTCTTTCACTTTCCCCTTCTCTCCCCTCTTTGCCTCCCCCCACCCTCCCAGTCTCTCGTGCACACCCCAACCTCCACACCGTTCTCAGTACTTCACTGTTACTGTCACATTCAGCTCCTTCTCTTGAGTCACCTGAGTATAACGAAGCTTCTTGTTGTCATGTGCTGCTGCAGGCCATTTTGCCCAGTTTTGGTGAAAGGTATTTATCGACTGCATTGTTTGCAAATATATGGGAGGAGGTTATTAAAACGCCAAAGTTTTGATGGGCAAACATTGTGAGTTCCACCATTGGGGGATAGGCAAAAGTTAGATAGTGGATTGCATCATTGTATTTATTGTACAAAGATGCTTTTCATGTTATCACAGCATACAGACCTCACTAACAGGGTAGAAGGTGATCCAAAGTGTTTCCAAATTGAGAGAAAGCCATCATGTGCAGAGCCTTGTAACCTTTCACAAATATTTATTTCGTAATTCCATTCACCAGTGTAAGACTTTCAGGGTTTCTGCATTGTGCCTAAGTGAAGTTCGCAGACTGAACCATCTGAGTGCGAAACGATCATTCGAGTACAGTACTAACGAAGCACACCCTCCAGCTGCGATTTCCGTCAACATCAATATGGTTGCAAACTAGCCCAACGCTGGTTTCCAAACATATCCTACCCAGCCGTTCTTGAAACTTGTTTGACCGTTCTAGAACGTAAAGCAGCTCACTGCGCCGCATTAAGCGCACTTTCATGAACACCCCTCACCTCAGTCCTGGCTATTGAACACACATCCCTCCATCACTTACCCCGTGAAAAATTCGCGCAGAAGGTTCTCCGTCTCCCCTAGCAGACCTTCCGCGATTCTTCACTTCCGCTTCCGCCAATGGCAGCGCTCCGCCATCCGCCCTGCGCCGCGCTTGCTTCCCCATGGCTGCGCCCAGACGCGCGGCCGCTACTGCGACGACCCGCGGGCGCAGGCGGGGCGGAACGGCATGTGCGCAATCCGCCAACAGTTCGCGGAGTGCGGGCGGATTCCCGCCGCGCGGAGAGTGAGGCGCGCGGGAATTGCGCGGACTTGGCGGAACAAGGGGGACTCGGCGTGACGAGGTGGGGCCGGCGGAGAGCGGGGAGCTGCGCCTGAAATTTGTGGCGGGGCGGAGGGAAATCAGGCGGAGAAAAATCAGGCAGAGTTTTGAGACAAACGCGTGCACGTTCCCCGAGAGTTTACTCTTCCGAGGCGCTTATCCATTTCCGCTTCTCCCCGCACCATCCCCTTATCCCTTTCCCCTCCCCCATCCGCAGACGAGCGCTCCTCTCGTCCTCCCTCCCCCTCTCCATCGCCCTGCTTGCGCCCCCTGCTCTCGCGGGTGAGACCATTCTCCCCCCCTCCCCCCTTCTGTTCCCGCACGTGAGACCTGCCTCTCTGCCCCCATATTTTTGGGCTGTTACAAATGCCGCCATATCCTTCCAATAGCTCGTCTCCTTCTCAACTTCCCTCCTGCACCTCCACCCTTCCCTCCCCTCTCTCCCCCCCCCCCCCTTCCCCCTCCTCCCCCCTCCTGCGGCCCCCTTCAATTTAATCCCAATTCATGTTGCCGTATCCTCCCTCCCGCCGTCACCCTCCACCTCCCACCCACCACCTCTCACCCTCCACCTCTCCTGCTCGCCAGTGCCTGCCCTCGGAGATCCTTCAGTCACCATTGCTGACGTCACCCGTGACGTCACGCCAGCTGGCAAGCTGCCTGCTGCTGAGGTGAGGGGAGTGGGAGTGAGTGATAGTGAGGGGAGGAGTGAGAGTAGGAGAGTAGGAGTGAGTGAGTGAGAGTGGGAGAGCGAAGAGGAGGGCAGAAGGGATTGTAGGAGTGAGAGAGGGAAGGAGAGTACAAGTGAGGGTAAAAATGAGAGGCGATTGCATGTGATGCGAGTGTCACTCTATGTTCCCTCTTCCCATGTTTTCCCCTTCCGCATTCCCCTTTACTCCCTCCAACCTCCCCCCACCTCCTCCCCCACCGCCACAGGAAGCAACGGTGGCTCTGGGTGAGCGCACCTCCCACCTACTCAGTGGCACAGGAGGCAAACATATTTGACGCCACTCTGTGGCCCCCCTCCCACCTTATCCCCTACTCCCCTCCCACCTTATCCCCTACTCCCCTCCCACCTTATCCCCTACTCCCCTCCCACCTTATCCCCTACTCCCCTCCCACCTTATCCCCTACTCCCCTTCCCCCGAACCCCTACTCAGTGGCACAGGAGGCAACGGTGGCACTATTCGAACGAACCACCTACTCAGTGGTGAACATATTCGATGTGACTCTGCGCCAGAGGGGCAGAGGGGAACGCAGCGAGTGCTGATGGGGGTGTGCTGACCTCCCTCCCTCTCTGCTCCCTCCGCCTTCCCCTTCTGCCCCCCCCCCCCCCCACGCCTCTAGAAGCATTAGTGGCTCTGTTCGAACGAACCACCTACTCAGTGGTGAACATATTCGATGTGACTCTGCGACCCAGCATGAACAGCACGGGGCAGGTGGAGGTGCCCGAGGGGAACGGGTCGGATGAGTGGTTATGGGGTTGCTTTCCTTGTAAACTTCTGGCCTCCCCCTCTCCCCTCTCCCCTCTTTTCTTCGACCACAGGAGGCAACAGTGGCTCTGTTCGAAGGCACTACTTATTCAGTGGTAAATATATTCGACCACTCTGCAATTCTTGACCTCCCTCTCTGCTCCCTCCTCCTCCTTCCCTCTCTCAGGAAGCAACGGTGGCTCTGTTCGAGCGCACTACTTATTCAGTGGTGAATATATTCGACGTGACTCTCCGCCCCAGCATGAACACCACGGGGCAGGTGGAGGTGCCGTGCTGGTGACTTCCCACCCCTGCTTCTGCTCCCCATCCCCCTACTTCCCCTCCCTCCCCACCACCACAGGAAGCAACAGTGGCACTGTTCGAACGAACAGCCTATTCAGTGGTGAATATATTCGACGTGACTCTCCGCCCCTGCATGAACACCACAGGGCCGGTGGAGGTGCCGTAGGGTGCACGTCGAGTGGAGGCGCCTGAAGAGGCTGGAGGGGAACGCAATGGGTGCTGATGGGGGGGGGGGTGCCTGCAATTCTTGACCTCCCTCTCTGCTCCCTCCTCTTTCCCTCTCTCAGGAAGCAACGGTGGCTCTGTTCGAGCGCACCACCTACTCAGTGGTGAATATATTTGATGTGACTCTGCGACCAAGCATGAACACCACGGGGCAGGTGGAGGTGCCGGAGGGGAACGGGTCGGGCGTGGTGTGGAACAGCGACGGGTATATTGTTACCAATTACCACGTGGTTGGGAGTGCACTCTCGCAAAACCCCCCTGCTGGAAGGACTATCGCCAGAGTCACTCTGCTCGGGACAGACGGGTGAGTTGAGTGCGGTGCGGTGCGGTGCAGTGAAGTTATTCAAGGGTTACATTGTTACAAACTACCACGTGGTCGGGAGTGCACTCTTGCAAAACCCCCCTGCTTGAAGGACTATCGCCAGAGTCGCTCTGGTCGGGACAGACGGGTGGGTTGAGTGCGGTGACTGTGAGTGAGGTGCGGTAGAGTGAAGTGGTAAGACGGTGGAGTTTCTCTTAGGGTTGGACTGATGTGTTGAGTGCAGTGCGGTGTGGTGCAGTGCAGTTCATCGCCATCACTCGAGTTCCTCATCCTTCTCTCCCCTCACCACCAGCTTTCAGCGCAATCTAGCAGGAGTGCTAGTGGGGGTCGGGTCGATAACAGTCTACGTTGTTACTCGCCTCAAAACTGGTGTTGAGGTGACTTCTGAGTCGACTCAAAAGTCGGCTATGTTTTTACTCGCCTCAAAACTGGTGTTGAGGTGACTTCTGAGTCGACTCAAAAGTCGGCTATGTTTTTACTCGCCTCAAAACTGGTTTTGAGGCGCCTCAAAACTGGAGTGCTAGTGGGGGTCGATAGCAGTTTAAGTTATTACTCACCTCAAAACTGCATGCTCGTATCCCTCTCCTCACTCCTCCCTTCCTCACCCTTCTTTCTCTTCATCCCACCAGCTTTCAACGCAATCTGGAGGGAGTGCTGGTGGGGGCGGATCGGACCAAGGACCTTGCAGTGCTCAAGGTGAGGCAGGCAGTTGCCTAAGAGGTCATAAGCTGACTGACGTATTCTGGGTAGCTTAGACAGGAGTGCTGGTGGGGGCTGGCTGGACCAAGGAGTGCTCAAGGCGAGACAGCTATATGTCTAGGTCGAAGCCCAGGTACTTACTGGGTCCTGGGACCAGATATGTTGGAAACAGTCAGCCGGTAATCAGCGCAATTTGGAGGGAGGGCTGATGGGGGCTGGCTGGACCAAGGACCTTGCAGCTCTCAAGGTGAGATAATATTTTAGAAAGCCTGATCCGCCCGCTCCCACTCGGCGACTTTTCCTCACTGTAAGTGGGGCAACACTCGTACGTGCGCCATCAGCAACCCCTTTAGCGATGGCGTACAAGCGTTGCCCCACTTGAGTATGGCTTCGACCACACGCTCTTCTTCCCCACTTACCCCTCCATCCCCACGCTTTCCTTCCCCCTATTCCCCCATTCTTCCCCACTTCCAACCCCACCAGGTCTCCGCCCCTCCCAACCTCCTCCTCCTCCCACTCCCCTTCAGTGATTCCTCTTATGCCATCGGCGACCCCTTGCGTTCGACCACACGCTCTTCTTCCCCACTTACCCCTCCCGTTTCCTCATTCGCCTGCTTTCCACTCCCCTTCTTCCTCCCACCAGATCTCTGCCCCTCCCAACCTCCTCCGCCTGCTCCCCCTCGGCAATTCCTCCTCCCTGCGAGTGGTGCAACGCTCCTATGCCATCGGCAACCCCTTTGGCTTCGATCACACACTCATCTTTCCGGCTTCCCAGTATCATTCCCCCAACCCCCTATCTTCCTTCCACCACTCCATCATTCTTTTCCGCTTCCTCCCACCAGGTCTCTGCTCCTCCCAACCTCCTACGCCCGCTCCCTCTCGGCGATTCCTCCTCCCTGCGTGTGGGGCAGCGATCCTATGCCATTGGCAACCCCTTTGGCTTCAACCACACGCTCCTTCCCCCCTCATCTCCCTCCCATTCCCCCATCCCCCATTCCCCCACTCATCCTCACCCCAGGTCTCTGCCCCTCCCAACCTCCTCCGCCCGCTCCCTCTCGGCGATTCCTCCTCACTGCGGGTGGGGCAGCGATCCTACGCCATCGGCAACCCCTTTGGGTTCGACCACACGCTGACAGCGGGGGTGCTGAGCGGGGTGAATCGCGATATCTACAGCGCAGCAGGCGTGGTCATTGCAGGGGGCGTGCAGACAGACGCTGCCATCAACCCCGGCAACAGGCGAGTGTGGGCTGGTATGATTGTGTGTGTGAGTGTGTGTGTGAGAGAGAGAGAGAGAGTGGATGTGTGTGAGAGTGTGAGTGTGCGTGTGTGTGAGCGTGCGTGTGTGGGTGTCCCATCACTCCCACTACTACCCCATGGGCAACCTGTTTAGGTTCGACCACACGCTGACAGCGGGGGTGCTGAGCAACAGGCGAATGTGCTACTTGGTTTAGTAGTGTGCGTTTGTGAGTGTATGTGTGTGTGTGAGAGAGAGAGCGTGTGTGTGAGTGTGCATGTGTGAGTGTGCCTATGTGGGTGTGCGTGTGTGAGTATGTGAGTGTGTGGGTATGCGTGTGTGACTGTGAGTGTGTGATTGCATGTGTGATTGCATGTGTGAGTGTGCGTGTGTGAGTGTGCGTGTGTGAGTGTGCGTGAGTGAGTGTGCGTGTGTGAGTGTGAGTCTGTGTTTCCTATGGTACATGAGTGTGTAGCAGAGCGTGTTTTTTGAGAATTCTCAAAGAGCACGCTCTGTAGGGATCATAAATCTCCCCTCCCCTCCCATTTTTTGCTTCCCTCTCACCCCTTCCCTCCTCTCCTCTCCTCTCCCCTCCTCTCCTCTCCCCTCCTCTCCTCTCCCCTCCTCCCCTCCTCTCCTCCTTCTTCCACCATTCCCCTGCTCCTTGTTTTTGAGAATTCTCAAAAGCCACCTCAAAAGGCGCCATCTATACCAACACAGGTGTAGGGATGCAGTAACGCTGCCCATATCCTCAACTCGTCGCCCCTCCCCTCCCTTTTTCTCCACCCTCTCCTTCCTCTCTCCCTCCCAACAGTGGCGGCCCTCTGCTTGACTCGGCTGGAAGGCTCATCGGAATCAACACCGCCATTTACACCAACACCGGCACATCTGCCGGGGTGGGCTTCAGCAGCAGACGGCCGTCCATATATTGTTAGTCACCCTAGCATCTCCCCCCCACCCCCTCTTTCTTCCCCAACCCCCTTCTCCTTCCTCTCTTCCTCCCAACAGTGGCGGCCCTTTGCTTGACTCGGCTGGAAGGCTCATCGGAATCAACACCGCCATCTACACCAACACCGGCACATCTGCCGGGGTGGGCTTTGCGATTCCTGTATCAGTGGTGGCGCGCGTGGTTCCCCAGATCATCCAGTATGGCAAGGTGAGTGAGTGGCGTAAAGGAAGGACTTACGGGAGAGCGTGTGGAAAGTTCAATTCTGTGGTTGTTATTTGAAAATCACTTTTGAGAATTCTCAAATGTGTGGCGTTTTTAAGTCTGTGGTTGTCATTTCAATTTTGTCTATCCATCCAGCTGAAATCGTTTTCCAGTGGGGGGCATGATTCTGAAAAGATTGCGCCGCAATTTTACTCACCCATCGGAATATGAGAATAGCCACATCTATCGAAAACCATTTGAGAACTTCTGATATTTATGCACCAAACGCCTAACTAATATGTCTGTTCCTCTTCCCCCGTGTGAACCTCTGTGCTTACTTCTCACTCCCACACTCCCACACTGCCACACTCAAACTCAACTCACACTCACACTCACACCATGCCTCTTCTTCCTCCCCCACGTGATCCTCCTTGTCACATCCTCCTCCCCATCCCCATCCCCATCCCATTCCCATTCCCATTCCCAAACCCATCAGGTCATTCACCCCACTCTAAGCGTGTCGCTGGCTGTCAATGGCATTGTCGGGCAGCTTTTGAGGCGCCTCAAAAGGCTGTCCATGGCATTGCCCGGCAGCTGGTTGTGGGAGGGCAGCAGCAAGGTCTATTGGGCCGGGTTGGATAGAGCTGCTTCACTCACATGTGCTCTGCATTCCCACTCGCATGCCCATTCCTATGCCCATTCCCATGCCCATCCCCATGCATTCCCATCAGGTGATCCGCCCCGGGTTGAGCGAGCAGCTGGCTGTAGACGGCATTGCCAGGCAGGCAGCTGAGCGTGAGCGAGAAGCTCGCGTAGTGGCCCTGAGGTCGTGTAGTGGCCCTGAGGTCGCATAGTGGCCCTGAGGTCGCATAGTGGCCCTGAGGTCGCATAGTGGCCCTCTCATCCTCCCACCCACTCCCACTCCCATCCCCATCCCATTCCCATGCCCATCAGGTCATTCGCCCCACGCTGAACGTACAGCTGGCTGCTGATGGCATTGCCAGGCAGCTGGGCGTGAGCCCGTTGTGTGTTCCCATCATCCCTGTCCCTGTGCTTTTGCGCTCCCGACCAATCCCTATAGCTCTTCCACTCTTCCACACCCATGCCTGCCCATCAGGTCATTCGCCCCACGCTGAACGCTCAGCTGGCTGCTGATGGCATTGCTAGGCGGCTGGGCGTGGGAGAGCAGCTCGCGTTGTTGCCCTCTCTGTTTCATCCTTATTCCCATAACCATCTCCAACCCCGTTCCAATGCCCATTAGGTCATTCGCCCCACTCTCAACCTACAGCTGGCTGCTGATGGCATTGCCAGGCAGCTGGGTGTGGCAGCAGGGGCGCTGGTGCTCGGGGTGAGTGTCAGTGTGGAGTGAGTGGTGATGAGTCTCTGGTGATGAAACTGTGCGATGAAAGTGTGTGATGAAAGTGTGTGATGAAAGTGTGTGATGAAAGTGTGTGATGCAAGTGTGTGATGTAAGTGTGTGATGCAAGTGTGTGATGAAAGTGTGTGATGAAAGTGTGTGATGAAAGTGTGTGATGAAAGTGTGTGATGAAAGTGTGTGATGAAAGTGTGTGATGAAAGTGTGTGATGAAAGTGTGTGATGTAACTGTGTGATGAAAGTGTGTGATGAAAGTGTGTGGTGCAAGTGTGTGGTGCTAAGTGTGTGTGGAGCGTGGAGCATGTTTCTGCATGGTCTATGGTGGACACACCATGACACCATCCCCATCTCTTGCTCACCCCATTTTCATACCCTTTCGGGCATGTCCGGACTCTTCCTCGCTTCCCCTCTCCCGCCCCTCCTTTTCCTCAGGTGAAGCCTGGATCAGCAGCGGCCAAGGCAGGGGTGACGGCAACCAGGAGGGGCTTTGCAGGCAACATTGTGCTGGGAGATGTGATTGTAGCGATTGATCAGTACACGGTAAGTTCTTTGTACCGTTACTCAATATAATATAATTTACGTGATCTACAACTTTATTGTCTTTGGCTGTACTGCGTTGGTTGATTTATTTGTTGGCTTCTTGTTGGTTTGCTTCATTGACTTGACTGTCACTCACCCCGTCTCTCTCCATATTGAACCCCTGTCAAATAAAACCTTTGATGTATGTACAGGTGAAAATGGCTGCTGATGTGGACAAGGCCTTGGATGACCTGTCAGCAGGTCAAACTGTGTCGCTTCAGTTATTGAGAAATGGTGAGAAGGTGATGGTGCAATTTCCTCTTGAAGAGTCTTCATAAGAATTATATTGGCAACCAATCATACACATACACACAGCGCTTGTGATACAAAACATAGTTAGTTGCAAGGGCATTAGTTAGAATTGTCCTTTATTGAGGGTTCCTTCGTTATAAATGCAGCATCTCTGTTCCATAAAAAAAAAATGCATATCTATTTTTTTGTGCCTAAAGAGAAATATTGGATGCTGTTTTCTTTAAAAAAAAAAAAAGGTTCCTTCATCATATAGGCACCATGCTTTTTCTTTCGTAAAACATATTTAAAATAAATCTGTTTGTGGCGGTGCAGCTGTTGCGATCTGCTCTTGGTTGCTTGTGATCGATCTCCACTTCTGCCGGAGCCAATACCAGCCTCCAGCGTGGTAGCTCTCAACACGCTCCAATCATATCGCGACTCAAATTCACAAAGTAGCGCCACGTCATTTGGGTTACCGCTCTCAGCATGACCCAACCCAATAGTGGACGTGTCGCGGACCAGATTTCTACGAGCTATTGACATTGACTTGTCCTGGACTCTAGGAACCAGCTGGGTGCGTGAATCGTAGAAGGCTGCCGCGTTTCGCGAGCAAGTTAGTCTGTTGAAATCATTTTGAAGTGCCACAGACACAAGACTAGCTTTCTCGTGAATGCAACTTTTTCCTGCTGCCAATTGCACGACAGGTGTTGGAATTTCGATTAGAAGTTACCGAATTTCGGCGTGTTTCACAAGTGGTCACGACCAATCAAAAGGCCAATAATCAAACTATTAGTTGTCCACGTGGAACTCCTCGGTAACGCTGATTGGGTTGTGGAAGATGCTCGTCGTACAAGCACAGCATCCCCACTGCGCCACCTACTCCTTTCTCTCAGATGTGTTTCGCCAAACGTCGTCACGTCAAAATCGTTATCGCCAACCTGCGTCTGTCCGTTATTCGGTAACACCTTCATGGGGTTCGCCCAACCACCCGCGCTTGTGCAGCAGGAATGCGCGCACGGAAAATGCGGCTGTGTCGAAGCTGCCTCGCAATAGCAGGCGTTTCCTGACACGCGCATCGCAATCTGGAGACGCCCAGACACCTGGTGAAAGGACTTTAAAGGCCATTAGGGATGCTGCGGGGGCAAAAAGCGGAGCGGCCGCCGATAAATCCGGCGTAGGAAACGGTGGGGATGCCGGCAGTAGCAGCGGCAACGCAGCGCAATCGGCACTGGAACGCGCACTCGCGTATAAGGCGAAGAGACAACAGCAGCAGTCAGGAGCGACCGCAATCGCGACAGCAACACCTGCTGACAGTAATGCTAACGCTTCCGACGGTAGTAACGCCTCAAGCAGCAGCTATGGCGGCGCCGCTGCTACCGGTACTCTCGGTGCTGCTCCTGCTGTTACCAGCAGTGGCACCAGTGGTAACACTACCGGCAGCACCGTTACCAGTAGTAATGCTACCAGCAGCACAGTTACCAGTGGTAACCCTACCAGCAGCAGCAGCAGCAGCGGCGTGCGATCGTACGCGGATCAGGTGGCGGAGATGGCGGCGGCACTCGCGGCGCGCGAAGCAGAGAAGGAAAAAGCGCAGCAGCAGCAGCAACAGGGGGACGAGGAGAGGAAAGCGAAGGCGAAGGGAAAGGAGAAGGAGGAGGACGACAAGGATATTATCGAGGTGGAGATAGTAACGCGGGACGGAGTGATTAAGCGCCGGACTAAGCGGTCCGAGATGGAGTGGGGAGGGTCCACCGGCGGGAAGAGCGCCAAACCCGGCGGAATCAGCGGCGGGATCGGCGGCGGGATCGGCGGCGGGGGATTAGGTGGCGGTATGATGGGCAATCCTGGGGTAGCCGGGGCGCGCGCGCGCAGCGCGTCGACTCCGTCGGTTACTGGCGTGGATTTTCTGGGATTAGGGTTTCAGGAGGAGCGGGAGAAGCAGCAGGGGCGCGGGAAGGGGCCGCTGCCAGCTGGCCTGCAAGCTGACGTGGAATTCGACCCGGCCACGTCAGGAGGGAGTCTGCCGCAAGTGGAGATGATCGTCGGGTCGCGTGTGATTACAAAGAGGGGGGAGGTCCCGGGGGAGCAGCAGCAGGGGGGTGCGCAGGGGGAGGGGGAAGGGGGAGCGGGGGGAACGGAAAGCGAGTATAAGCCCAAGGTTGCGACGTGGGGGGTATTCCCGAGGCCTAGAGACATCTCGAGAACGGTGAGAGGGAGGGAGACGGTGGGGGATGGCGGTATTACCACGGCTGATGCCATCTCCACCGCTCTCCACCCCTCTTCCCCATCATCTTCCCTTTTTCTCCCCATCTCCCTTTCAGTGTGGCGGAGGGCGCACCATCAGGCCTGGGGAAGCAAGCACTGGAGAGGAGGAGCGGGGGAGGGAGGAGAAGATGCCATTTCCACCGTTCTCCACCCCTCGCCTTCATCGACCTTCCTCCCCTTCTTCCCATCTTCCCCTTCAGTATGGGGGTGGGCGCACCATCAGGCCAGGGGATGCGCTAGAGAGGAGGAGAAGAGGGAGAGGGAGGAGAAGAGGGAGAGGGAGGAGAAGAGGGAGAGGGAGGAGAAGAGGGAGAGGGAGGAGAAGACCAGGAGGGGAGGGGGCGAGATCACCATGCCGTTTCTCTTTGCCGCAGCAACCTCCTGTGCCTACCCTTCTTCCCTTCTCTGACTTTTCCCTTCAGTACGGCGGTGGGCGCACCATCAGGCCAGGGGAGGCGCTCGAGACAGAGGAGGAGAAGCGGGAGAGGGAGGAGAAGACGAGGAGGCTGTTAGACGAGTACAACAGAAGGATGGGCTTTAAGATGGACCCTGCTGTCAAGGCGGAATGCGAGGAGGTGAGTGAGAGTCCCCCGTTTGCATCTCCCACTCCCCTTGCTGGTTGAATGAGAATGGGCTTTAAGATGGACCCTGCTGTGAAGGCGGAGTGCGAGGAGGTAAGTTGCTTTGAGATGCCTGCTGTGCTGGTCTCCCCTGGTGTCCCCTGGTGTCCCCTGGTGTCCCCTGGTGGCCCCTGTCACGCACGTGGGCTTTAAGATGGGCCCTGCTGTCAAGGCCATGTGCGAGGAGGTGGGCAGAAGAGAGCGAGAAGAGGAGGAGGTGAGATGTTGAGAGAGGATTGTGAGGAGGAGAGGGTTGTGAGGAGGAGAGGATTGTGAGGAGGAGAGGACGAGGAGGCGGTTAGACGAATGCAATTGAAGGATGGGCTTTAAGATGGACCCTGCAGTCAAGGGTCGCATGTAAGGAGGGGGCGATGAGTCACTTCGACTTGGCCAGTCACGCCACATTTCCTGCAGTGCTGCTCCCTTCCCCATGGAGGACTCTTTTTTCCTTTGCTGCTGCCTCAAAAGTCCCCATGGAGGACTCTTTTTTCCTTGTGCAGGCCATGATGGGGCAGCACTGGAGGCACGCTGAGGGGGGGCCTGGATCCGTTTGGGGTGGTGGTGTTTGTGGTGGTGGTGGTGGTGGTGGTGGCGGTGGCGGTGGCGGTGGCGGTGGCGGTGGCGGTGGCGGTGGCGGTGGCGGTGGCGGTGGTGGCGGTGGTGGTGGTGGTGGTGGGTGGGTGATTAGAGATTCCCTCTCCTACCTTCTTCCCCCCTCCCTTTCACGTACAGGCAATGAGGGAGGGAGCGGTGCTGATGGAGAGGGGGAGGCTGAGGGAGGCACTGGAGCAGTTTGGCGTGGTGGTGGCCAAAACGACCTTTCAGAACGAGATGCACGGCCGGGCTGCTATTCAGCAGGCTGTGTGCCTCGACTCCCTCGCCCGGTGAGTGCTGCTGGGGGTAAGTGTTTCGGGTTGAAGGTCCAGCTGTGTGGGGGCTTGGCTCAATGCACCACCTTCCAGAACGAGGTGCACGGCAGAGCAGCCATTCAGCAGGCTGCGTGCCTCGACTCCCTCGCGCGGTGAGAGAGAGTTTCCTGCTGGGTCAGGGTTTCATGTTTTGGGGTTCAGGGTTCAGCTATGTGGGGCCTGGCTCAATGCACCACCTTCCAGAACGAGGTGCATGGCAGAGCGGTCATCCAGCACGCTTTGTTTTGAGTCGACTCCAAACACGCCATCCAGCACGCTTTGTTTTGAGTCGACTCCAAACACGCCATCCAGCACGCTTTGTTTTGAGTCGACTCCAAACACGCCATCCAGCACGCTTTGTTTTGAGTCGACTCCAAACACGCCATCCAGCACGCTTTGTTTTGAGTCGACTCCAAACACGCCATCCAGCACGCTTTGTTTTGAGTCGACTCCAAACACGCCATCCAGCACGCTTTGTTTTGAGTCGACTCCAAACACGCCATCCAGCACGCTTTGTTTTGAGTCGACTCCAAACACGCCATCCAGCATGCTTTGTTTTGAGTCGACTCCAAACACGCCATCCAGCACGCTTTGTTTTGAGTCGACTCCAAACACGCCATCCAGCACGCTTTGTTTTGAGTCGACTCCAAACACGCCATCCAGCACGCTTTGTTTTGAGTCGACTCCAAACACGCCATCCAGCACGCTTTGTTTTGAGTCGACTCCAAACACGCCATCCAGCATGCTTTGTTTTGAGTCGACTCCAAACACGCCATCCAGCACGCTTTGTTTTGAGTCGACTCCAAACACGCCATCCAGCACGCTTTGTTTTGAGTCGACTCCAAACACGCCATCCAGCACGCTTTGTTTTGAGTCGACTCCAAACACGCCATCCAGCACGCTTTGTGCCTCGGCTCCCTCTCCCGGTGAGAGAGAGTTTCCTGCTGGGTCAGGGTTTCCACTTCAGGGCTAGAGGGGCTAGAGGCGGGCTTAGGGTTCAGCTGGGTGGGGCCTTGGGTCGAATCTCAAAGCACGACCTTTCAGAAAGAGATGCATGGCAGAGCGGCCATTCAGCAGGCGTGTGCCTCGACTTGCTTGCATGGTGAGAGTGGTCAGGAGTCAACTGTGGGAACCAAGTTCACCTGTGCGGGGGCTGGTTAGATGGACCACCTTCAAGCACCATTGCTCCCTTCTGCACACCCGCTCCTTCCCATGTTCAACAGGCGGATGGGGTGATGTGTTCCCTCTTGCCTCCATGCCTCCTTCCTTCAACCACCCCCGTTTGCTTTTGCGCCCCCATGCTTCCACACCACCTTCATCACGTCGGATGAGGCAAAAGCCATGTACGAGAGGCTGGCAAAAGCCACGTACAAGAGGCTGGCAAAAGCCATGTACGAGAGGCTGACAAAAGCCATGTACGAGAGGCCGACAAAAGCCATGTACGAGAGGCTGACAAAAGCCATGTATGGGAGGCTGACAGGGCATCATTTTCCTATGGCTATCTGTTCCCCCACCCACCAACACACGCGCCTTCCCTCCCTCCCCCTCTTCCCGCAATTTTTTTGTCGACTCTAAAGTCGCACAGCTCCGTCTCCCTTCCCCCCCCCACATTCATGTATGAATGAGAGGAAGGCACCCCAACGAAGGGGTCAAGAGGAAGGCCTCTTGCCTCCATGCTTCCTCCCCCCACCCACCCACCAACCCACGAAGGCAAGCAAACCGTCCCCACCCCCCCCCCCTCCCCCCAACCAGGTCAGGCAAGGCCAAGGCCATGTATGAGCGGCTGACAGGGCATCCCAACGAATGAGTCTTACCCTCCTTTCCCCCCCACACACACACAAACTAACCTTCCGCGTTTCCCCCATTCACCAGGTCAGACGAGGCCAAGGCCATGTATGAGCGGCTGACAGGGCATCCCAACGAAGGGGTCAAGAGGAAGGCCCGGCAAATGCTGTTTGGGTTTCAGGTGAGGAAAACGGTTCAACATTTCATATATTCCATGGTTTTTCCGCTATTCCCTGTTGACTCCGTATGCTGCTTGTGTCGGCATGTTCTGGAATTTGTAACACTCTCAGTCACCCTTCTGTTTGTCAGGGTTTCATCTTCAATCATCTGTTCTTTTTAACATGTTTGCTGCGTTGCTGTAACAGGCAGCAGAGAATCTTCGCTTCACTGGTGGCTCAGACTACGACTCGTCTTGGTACAAGAAATACTTTGACGCATTCGCAAAAGGCTCCAAGTACAATAATGTCTACAAGGCAACGCAAGAGGATGAGGAGGAGAGCAACAAGCAGCTGTTGCAAGATGCGCTACTGTATGGGCTCTTGTTGCTCATGCCTGTTGTGCTTATTCTGGCAGTGGCGGCAACAAGGAATGCGACCTGATGGTTTTCTGCTCACTCCCACATTTCAATTGTTGGGAATACACTGCTAGTGGCCGGCCTTCAACAGAACATTCATTTGAGCCTTTCTTGTAAAATCAGCTCACTGAGTAATGCACATTCCTCCAAGCGGTGCTTTAGGTGAATTTATCCTCAGCTGTCCACACAATCTTCCTGCAGCCCCTCAGCTCCTATGTTGGTACTGTAGTACATGATATATTCGTAAATACCAGGCTACATGATTGATCTCATTGCTGCAGCTTCAAAATGCCCCGGCAACACGTTTGATTATAGTAGAAGGACGCAGTTCCATTGAGTGGGTTGATGTGGGGTGAAGTAGGGTGATGTGGGTTGTGGGGTGGGGCAAGGTGGAGTGGGATGGAAGAGAAACCATGAGTGTGGCATGGGAGATGCCGCAATCACTGTACATAACATTTACTGTACAGCGTGATCCACCGTCACGGCCCACCAGTTGGAATCGGTTGGTTAGACATGGTGCGAGGTAGTGTGGCGTCGTTGCATCCCCTATCAGACGCGATTTGGTTTCTGACACTAAGAAATGTTTTTGCAGACATCCCTTTAACCCCTTTAGTGAGGGTTTTCACAAAGATCACAGCGAAGGCGAAATCAGATGTCATGGGAGAAACAGGCCCATGGCACTAGTCGGAAAACCTTTGCAGTGGAGAGATTACGCAGTCTGTGCATACTGTACCAAGTTATTTGCAGGGCCAGAAAGTCAAAACCCAACCACTTTTCTGATTCTTCACTCTGCCACCGAAACACCTCTCACGCTCCACCAAATCTGAAAGGCTGACCGAAAACACGTCGATGCTGGTCCTTGCCGGAAGACTTGTTTCAAATGGCCCGAGGCGGCCTCCCGCCCCACAAATTCCCGCCCAGGCAGGTCCGCCTGGGTCATCCTCCCTTTCATCCTTCGGTCTAGGCATCCCCATTCCGCCCTCCCCGGCATCACCATCCCGCCCTCCCCGGCATCCCCATCCCTCTCCCTCCAGCCTTGGTATCCCCAGATCATCCCTGCTCGCCTCAAACCCGAGATTTCTCCCGCCCCCGCAGCATCTCCCTCCCGCATTGACATCCCCACCAAACCATCCATCGTCCGCCTCCGTTGCTTCCCGCTTCCGCGTAGGGCAGGATGTTTGATTGGTCTTCCTCCCCAAAACCACTGACCACTGGCCTATGACTGTAGCGCCACGAGGTACGACCAGCTTAGCCACTGGAGCAGATTCTCTCCAACTTTGCGCAACTGTCCCAACCCAACCACACACCAATCACCCACCGAATCGAATCCTCGCGCTCGCTGCTTGTTCTTACACCCAAACGCTGTCCCCATTAATCCCACCAGCCAATAACATCTCCCCCAAGAACATACAGTGCGGTTTCTCCCCTCTCTCCCCCCCATTCCCCTCCAACATTTCCGGACCAGACCATCGAAGCTCGCTGGTACGGGCTGGGCGGGCGGTGCCACTGGTCCGCAAAACATGGCCTTTTTCGGCCCTCCAGACCAGACCAGACATGCGATGGGATGGAATGAGGGAAAGCCACGTCTATCGAAACATCCCCCAAACCAAACCTAACGGCACAGTAACAGCCTCGGCTCTGCTCTACCTCGTCGCTCGCTCCCCTAACCTCCCCTTCCCCCTTACCCTCCCTTCTCACGCTAATCCTTGGACGAGCCACCCCAAAATCAGCTCCGCCTTCACCAGTCCCCCCACCCCACCCATTCCCATCCCAACCCATCCATCCTCCCTCCCTCCTCCCCTCCCCTCCCTCCCTCGAACATCTAATTGGACCAACTTCCTTGCGTTTCGAGCTTCCTCCCTTCAATTCCCTAATGCGAAAAATGATTGGTAATCCACAGTGGCTGCGAACTGGACTGTACATATATCCACCGCTGCCCACCGGCTCCTCTCGTCTCGAAATCTCGCCTGCTCTCATCTACAGATTGCACGTCGCACCGCGGCGCGTGTACAGTGATAACATAGATGTCGCTATTGACGTCACGAACGACTCACGAGTCTTGACTGTTCCGCCCGTATTATCCCCTTGCTTCGAGGTTGGCTTCTCCCACTGCGGATTTGTCGCTCATCCTTCACTTCTTCGTGAGTCGACCTCACTCATCGAGGGAAGTTCTTTCCCCCTCCCTCCCCCTCTCCCCTTCCCCCGAACTACCACTCCATTCCATTCACCTCAGGCAGCGCTCCAGAGTACATTACTGTGATGTCGTGTTCGACTCGCAAAGCTGACCGAAAAGGCCATCGAGGTTTGAGAGACACCGGGAGAGTGGCAGTCGGGAAAGGGTACATGAATCCTCATATGTATGCCAATTGCTCCCGCCTGCTCAGACTCGATAGAGGTTACCGGGTTACCAGTCTAGTCACCGCCGCACACCGCCAGCCCAGCAGGTGCTCAGATGTCTTGTTTCTCTGATGTATTCCTCTCGTAGTAACCGTTTCTTTGGCGTACGGTCTCAGGAGGACATATGTTACGAGAGGGACGCGCGATACATCGGATGTATTCCTCTCGTTTTGAGGCGTACGGTCTCAGGAGGACATATGTTACGAGAGCGATGCGCCGCGCATAGTATGGCCTATGATCGTATACATCCGGATGGATCGCTCTCGTAGCATCGCAGGACGTCGGCGCCACGTCATCATATTTCGCGACCCGCAACTGTGCTAAGTAGGCGTCTGCAGTTGCGGCAGCAATCCCGTTCTGCGAGTATTATTCGAAATGCCGCGGCCACTTAGTAATAGGAGTGCTTCGTGTAGGTTCCACCACGGCAAATTAGGGTTACCATTAACGAAAGCGATGGAAATGCGAGAGTGCTTAGCGTGGATGAGACGGTCTCGGATCGCTATTCTGCTGTTGACTGTGGTCGCTCTCAGTTGCACCGCAGTTCACGCCGAAAGTCGCGCCGTGTCTCACGCCGCCAATGACGCTGGATGCAGCAGTAGTAAGCAGGCATCCGTAGTTGAAAGATCCTCCAGAGAAGCGTCTCGACTTTCGTTTCCAGACGTAGATGATTCGCTGCCGGACAGCGCGGCGAAAACTTACGACGAAGGTAGTAGCAGGTTTCAACGAGAGTCGAGGCCCGGCGAAGAAGTACCTGCTTCAGCATCGTTGGCGAAACAGGGTGGCGGGGACCTTGCGGAGGCTGGCGAAATATTATGGCGAGAGGTTACGTCATCCCAAACGCAGAAGACACAAAGGGAAATGCAAGGCGACTTGGAATCAGGAAAGCACAAAAGCAGCGGAGACCACGGGGAAATGGTTCTGGCAGAAGATAGGTCCGATCAACGGCATAACTGGTGGAGCTCTTTCAAGTCGCTTTGGACGAGTAACGAATTGACTCCAAGCGCGGACGACGAGGGTGCTCCTAGAGAAGCACGATTCGCCGAGGATGAAGCGAAAGGTGGAAGTGACGAAGGAGGGGAGGCGGGAGAGGGGGAGGAGGCGGAGGATGAAGTGGACGGGGAGGAGGGAGAGGAAGGGCGGATTGGGGAGGAGGAATACGCTGGTGAGGAAGAAGAAGGGGGAACCGGGGAGGCGGGGGGTGACTGGGAAGGTGAGTGGGACGAGGGAGGGGAGAGCGATGACGAGGGGGAGTGGGACGAGGAAGAGGAGGGTGACGAGGAGGGGGAGTGGGATACGGATGCGCTTCGAGGAATGAGCGCGGAGGAGCTAGATGGGCTCTGGCGGGCGGGGGACGACGCGGCGGAAGGGGAAGGGGAAGGAGAATGGGAAAGGGAGGGGGAGGGGGAAGGAGGAAAGGACCGGGACCCAGAATGGGGCACGCGGAGGGGGGATGAGTGGGACATTGGCGCGCAGGGCTGGGCGCGGCCGGAAGAAGCGGATGACGTGGCGGAAACGGCGGAATCGGAGGAAGCCGAGGCGGAAGGCAGCGCGCGCAGGGAGGGGAGCGGAGAGCGTCGGAAGGACAGATCTGGATCCGATGTTGGGTCAGACGAAGCAGATGTGACAACAACGAGCGTAGCGCAAGCGCAATGGACGAGCGACGTCGCCCTCAGCGAACCAGAGATCGACGAAGAGCTTTCGTTAAAGGGAAAGCGACGAACGCCGCAGCGCTCCCTCATCGCAGTCGCCAGTGCCGTTACCGGCGGTCGCAGCGTCGTTACACGTGCGACACCGAAATCCAATCATATCGGCGGAAAAAAACCCAAGTTTCCCTCGAGCGCTGGTAAAAGGAGGAGTGGAGGTTCCGGTGCGCGATCCAGGTCAGCGAAGAAGCTACGGAAACAGTTTCGCAAACGCTTTAAACGAGGATCGCAGCAGCTTCTGAACCTGCTTTGGAGTATCGCAGTAAAGGTGAATAATACGAAGCAGTTTGGATTGTTGCGGACGATTATAAGCGCGGTGATTACAAAGGGGGTGATTATCGCTTCAGAAGCGCTCGGGTTGAATATTCCGGAAGGACGTGCTTTCATTGCGACGCTCGTCGTCGTTGCGCGATCGAATGCGACAGGTGGCGACGCTTCTGCTTCTGCGGGAGCTGCTTCTGGCAATTCGTCGTTGTCTCCGGTACGCACGAAAGCTTGCTTCATGTTCTTTTTGTTTTTTGTTTCTTTTTTCCTTCTTGTAGGTTCTTATTTCCTCGTTGTGCTTATCAGAACCAATCCCCTTGCTCGCTAACTCTCCAGAATACGCATTTCCTTATCAGAACCAATCCCCTTGTCAGTAGTGTCTTGATCTCTGCCCGGCCCAACTCACCTGCTTTGTTTTTTCTTCGCACCTCGTCATCCCCGTTACAGGCTACATTCATTTACGACGTTGCGTACGTTCCAACAAACAACACCTCAAACCGTACAGTTCCCGCGCCGCCTCCGCCTTGCCCTTCTCCTCCTTCGCAAGTCTCCCCCTCGCCCCCTCCCCCTGGTAATCCTTCCCCCACGTTCTCCCCCTCCCCGGCGCAACCCCAACCCTGCAATCCGCGAACCCCCCCCTCCCCTGGAAATCTATCCCCTCCCCCCCTCACCTCCCCCTCCCCAACTCCCCCTACTAACAACTCGTTAGAATCACCCCCGTTACAACCACCACCACCACCACCACCAACCTCACCCAATCCAGCCATACCGCCGCCAGGCTCGGTTTCCGAACCTAGTCCTCCTATGGTTGTGGGTTCCACCAGTACCTATTTCGAGTTTACCTCACCCCAAGCCTCCTATAGCAGCAGCAGCAGCAGCAGCAGCAGCAGCAGCAGCAGCAGCAGCAGCAGCAGCAGCAGCAGCAGCAGCAGCAGCAGCAGCAGCAGCAGCAGCAGTGGGAGCAGCACTACCAGCAGCAACGGCAATACCCCCTCCAATCCACCCAAGCGACAGCTGGCAACTATATCCCCCTCCAGTAACCAAACCCCCAGGCCAGCAGGTGGTGCAAGAGGTTCGGCAGCCGCCTCGGCAGCAGGTTCGGCAGCAGGCTCGCCGCAGGGCATCGACTATGTGTTCCCGTCCTTCACCCCTTCCTGCTCCTCTGGCCCGTTCGTCTCCATGCTCTTCATTCCCCTCAAGCCCTCCTGCCCCAGTCCGCCCAACACAAGACAACTCACTGTAATCACGTGAGTGTTCTTTCACACCCTTAACTCCTCCTGCTCTCAAACCCTCCTGCCCTAGTCATCCACCCCTTCCTGCTCCTCTGGCCCGTTTTTCTCCATGCTCTTCATTCCCCTCAAGCCCTCCTGTCCCAGTCCGCCCAACACAAGACAACTCACTGTCATCACGTGAGTGCTATCCCAGAACACTTATTCTGTATTCCCTTAACCCCTCCTGCCCAGTCCCCCTGAATGCATTAAGTCCACCCTGTCATCTTGTGATTGGTACTCTACACGTTTGCCATTGTAAACCACTCGTCAGCCCAGGCTCTAACAAACCCTCCCAGTAGTAGAACAAAATCGCAACAATTACGATTCGTGGACTTGATTTCTCTCCTGGTGGGAGACAGCTCAATGTAATCATAGCACATTGAATTGTCATGACTGTTGTTCCTGTTGTGTTCTTTGCTCCTCTTTTCTCCCTTCTATGACTACTGCTCCATTTGTTTTCTACAAAGTTTTACTCCATTCTTAGATGCATTACTCACGAGTTTGTGAAACTAATCATGCTGACTGCTCCTTTCCATTTCAGGTATAAAAACATTCGATACCTGCGATTGCGATTCGGGTTGCCCGGAAAAGGCTGCCAGCGCCTGTATAAGTTTCAGCTGCCCAACTTTATGGGACGGCTGGTGAAAGGGCCAGTGACAATGAGGGTGTGTGCTCAGGGCAAGCCGAAAAAAGACTCGTGTGGGGTTATGACACTCACTGCTGCTGTTCCTTCCTGTAGACGGTAATGCAACAGTACCGTATATTTCTTAACATACCGTATGTTTGAAGTTCTGTAACAAAAGTTACGTTCATTCATGGAACATTTTCACACTCCTCAAAACAGGGTACAGTCCACATCTCTTCTGTGATATGTGTTCGCATGCCGATAGTTCACACACGATCGTTGTGTAAGATTGAATAAAATGAGGAAAGGGGTACAGCACACCTTCCAACACATAACATCAAGCTACCCCCTTCGACTGATTCCAAACAATGGCTAGCACAACAGAACCTAAACAGATAATACCATATATTCTAGCAAATACCGTACTAGTATAAAACATTCACTTGATGAGGGTGTCTTCTAACGAGGATAAACTCCCCCAGGAACTGCCTCGGCTCTGCATCCACCTCCCTCCCCTCCTGCCACGACTGCCCCACTATCACCCCCGGCCCTGCTGCCCTCACGTAGTCTCTGAAATCGTCGTCAAATATGGGTGGGTGGGGTCCTGATAGGGTCGGGGAAAGACAAGAGAGGTTGATACGAAAAGGGGGAGAGCGAAGAATGGATCGTAGGTGAAGAAAGCCCATTTGCCCCCTTCCTCCCCTCTCTGCCCCTCCTGCCATGACTGCCCCACTATCACCCCCGGCCCCACCGCGCCCGCACATGGTCCCTGAAATCATCGTCGAATATGGGTGGGTGGGGACCTGATCAGGGCTAATTTTTGGTTTCCAGCAACCCTTGTGATCAGTGTTGCACAAGTCCAAAAACCTGATTATCAGTGTGACACCTTGTTCAAACCCTGATCCACCAGGGTTTTCCTAGTTTTTGAAAATTATACCCTGTAGGATCAGTGTACCAGTTTTGCAAACCCTGGTGTATTGATATTATCGTTGGCAGGCAATAACGAAAATGTATTTCTGGCCAATGGAGGCCCCCCTCGTGCCAGCTCAGAGATGTTGCCTTTGCCAAATTTCAGTTTCTACAGTCGGCATGCGAGAACCTCGATACGGGAAAGGGGGGGTGGGTAGAGAGGGGGTGGGGGGTGGGGCGGCTCGGGGAGGGTATGTACTCGATTCAGGGTAAAACTCGTTACAAAGATCGGTAACCCTGGGCCGTCAGTGTACCTCAAACGTAAACCCTGGCCTATCAGGAAAATACAAGCTCCCGAAAAAATTACCCTAAGGCATCAGTGTGACAGCCAAAAACCACCCTTATTATCAGGGTATCAGGGTGATTTACCCTGATAAAATTAGCCCTGGACCTGATGCGGTCACGTATAGAAGTGAGAAGAGGGGTGGGGTGGGTCGGTGGGGAGAGAGAGGAGTAGAAGGGAGAGATAGTGAGAGTGAGAAGAATGGATTGTGGAAGAGGGGCTTCTACCCCCTCGCCCCCCTGCCCTCCTGCCACGACTGCTCCACTATCACCCCGGGCCCTGCTACCCTCACGTAGTCTCTGAAATCGTCGTTGAATATGGGAGGGTGGGTGCCTCATATAGTCGGCAAGAGAAGGGAGGAAGATGTGGGGGTGAGAGAGTGTAAGATGGAAGTGACAGAGAAAGTGAGAGTGAGAGAAACTGACTGTAGAGAAAAGTAGCCGCTTACTCACGCTGCTCCCTGCCATGATTGAACCCACTACCCCCCCGGCCCCACTGCAAATCTCAAAGAATTCAACTCACGAGGGTCAGGGAAACCTTCGGGCAGCCCCGAATCTTTCAGGTGCAGCTGCCCGGATTCATAGTCGAAGGAGAGATCACACGGCTCGTCTGTTGCGAGGACATTAGTTGCCGCCCGGATGCGGAAGTACAAGGGGGTGATTACATTGGAGAGGCCTGTAAAGAGAGGGCCACCTGATGGGATGGAGGGGAAGGCTCTGAGAGGATAGCAACGAAGGGTATGTTATGGATGGAATCATTTGTTTCTACTTCTTTGTTGCTAAGCTCAGGTGTAACGTATACGAGCCGTGTTACCAAATGAGCGACACCGTGTTTCCAACTGCTTCTCTTCCTGCAGCTTTCGCGGACGCCGCTTACAATCTGCTCCTCGCAACCACCTGCCGTCGCTGGCGTCGCCTGGCGAAGAACCACGTCGCCACGCTCCTCTTGAAGACAAACCGCGCCGTTTCCTTGGAGGATCTCGGCGCGGTTTGTCTTCAAGAGAAGCGTGGCGACATGGTTCTTCGCCAGGCGACGCCAATGACAGCAGGTGGACGCGAGGAGCAGATTGTAAGCGGCGTCCGTGAAAGCTGCAGGAAGAGAAGCAGCTAGAAACACGGTGTCGCTCATTTGATACCTGAGAGGTGTAACGTACCTGAGAGGTGTAACGTACCTGGGAGATGTAACGTACCTGAGAGATGTAACGTACCTGAGAGATGTAACGTACCTGAGAGATGTAAAGTACGTGAGAGATGTAACGTACCTGGGAGATGTAACGTACCTGGGAGATGTAACGTACCTGGGAGATGTAACGTACCTGAGAGATGTAACATACCTGAGATGACTCGACCATAGCGCAGCCCATCAGCGCCAACAAAAAAGGACTGCAGGGAGGCAAAACCGAGTTGAAAATAAACAGTAGAAAGAAAGAAGAAGAAAGATTACAGAGAAGAAGAGGAAAGGGTCGCAAAACATGACTAGACCATTGTTGCCATTGAGGCGCAGCCCATCAATGGCAACTAGAACGATTGCAGAGGCGATATTAATTGCAGACAGAACTCAAACAGAAGCAGGCCGGGTTGGGTCAAACGTGGTGAGGCAAGAAATTTGGCAAATCGGATGTTTTTTGTTTTTGTGAAACCTCACATAAACGGGTGATTTGGAAGCGAGAAAAATGTGAACTTGCAAGCAGGCAATTTGTGTGATTTCACACACTTTAATGGAAATAGTGAGGCAGGCAATAAGGGGGTGATGGTACCTTTTGAAAGCGTGAAAGCCACAACAATGGACCTGGGACTGGTGAAGGGGGTGAGGTGTGGAGGTGGGGGGGGGGGGAGGGGGAGGGCAATGAGCAACGACTCTTAAGGTTTGAGATGCCTCAACAGCCCTTGGAGGGGCATCTGTTGAGAGGGAGTAAGGATTTGATAGCCATGAAACTCACCCTCCTCCACCCTCAACCCACCCTCCTGTCAATTCCCCTCCCCTCCTATTCCCCTCCCCTCCTATTCCAGCCATGAAACTCCCCCTCCCCCTCCCCCGCCCTCAACCCACCCTCCTGTCATATCCCCTCCCCTCCTATTGCGGATTAAAGATGGCCTGTGAGGCCTTCATCAGCGCCAGTTAGGATTCAACCCACCCTCCTGTCATATCCCCTCCCCTCCTATTCCAACCTCCTCCCCTCTGCTCCTCCTCCCCTCTGCTCCTCCTCCCCTCTGCTCCTCCTCCTCTCTGCTCCTCCTCCCCTCTGCTCCTCCTCCCCTCTGCTCCTCCTCCCCTCTGCTCCTCCTCCCCTCTGCTCCTCCTCCCCTCTGCTCCTCCTCCCCTCTGCTCCTCCTCCCCTCTGCTCCTCCTCCCCTCTGCTCCTCCTCCCCTCTGCTCCTCCTCCCCTCTGCTCCTCCTCCCCTCTGCTCCTCCTCCCCTCTGCTCCTCCTCCCCTCTGCTCCTCCTCCCCTCTGCTCCTCCTCCCCTCTGCTCCTCCCCCCCTCTGCTCCTCCTCCCCTCTGCTCCTCCTCCCCTCTGCTCCTCCTCCCCTCTGCTCCTCCTCCCCTCTGCTCCTCCTCCCCTCTGCTCCTCCTCCCCTCTGCTCTTCCTCCCCTCTGCTCCTCCTCCCCTCTGCTCCCACTTCCCTCGTCCCACTTCCCTCGTCCCACTTCCCAATTCCCTCTGCTCCCCTCGTCTTCCCTCCCTCTGCCCTCCCCTCCCCTCCTCTTCCCTCCCCCTCCCATCCCATCCGCTTCTTAACTCTCCCCCCCCTCCTCTCTCCTCCCCTCATCTCCTCTCCCATCCAACTCTCCTCCCCTCCCCTCCCCTTTCCCGCAAACACCACTCACCTCCAATCACCCTCCCATCCCAAAATTCTGGCTGAAGCGGTGCTGACGTGGCAACGTCCGGCAGCATTCCCCCTGCTGACGTCACCGGGTCCGCACCTTCCTCCCCATCTTCCTGCTCCAGCTGAAAGCGATTGCCAGCCGCGTCCCACATGAGGGTGATGTGACTATAACGGGAAAAAGGGGGTAAACGGCGGGAGGGGAGGGGCGAGGGAAATAGGGAGAGAGGAAAGGCGGGGAAGTGGGGAGGAACGGGGAAACGGGGGGAATGAAGGAAGGACGAACGGGGGGAACGGGGGGAATGGGGGAAGGGGGAACGGGGGGAACGGGGGGGTGGGTGGTTGCTGTTCCAACGGGAAAAGGGTGAGGTGAGCATGGGAGAGGGGAGGAAAAGGGTCAACCTTATCCCACAATCGCGAGGATGACGTGAGAATAGCATAGCAGCATAGAGCGCGAAAGGGAGGGGAGGAGGGGTTGGGAAGTGGTTGGGTTGGGTCACGGGGTCCACACGGTTATGAAATGCAAGATCAACAAAGTTTACTGACTATGATATTGCAATGCAATGGAAAGGAGGTGTACTGACTGGGGTCTGAGCAGGTCCAGAAGACTGATAGGTGAAGTGAGTAGGTTATGGAATGCGGGAAAAAAAAAAAAAAAAAAAAAAAAAAAAAAAAAGTGTACTGACTGCGGTTTTAGCAGGCCCAGCAGCCTGTGGCGCCTCTCTTCGGGAATGTCGCCAATCTTCTTCCTGCAGCCAATCAGAGCGCGGCAGAACCGAAGGGAGAATACGGGGAGGGGAGTAATAGAGGAACGCAAACGAGAAAGTTTTGCATAACGAGGGGGAACGAGCCAAACTGAGCAAAGCTGACTCTTACTAGCAAATAAAAAATATTTTGTCTTTGTATGGAACAATACATATGTACAACAAATTTGGATGACACAGAACCTCATACTCGATAATAGAAGCCTCGATCGAAATGCTCACCACAGGAATACTGCCGGATTGTAAGTTTCTGGATCCGATGGCCGTAAATACCGCGAGCCGTCCAGGAATCCCGGGATGTCCAGCTCATCTAGATAGTACTTCCGTCCGTCCACGAATCTGTACGGCTTCTCCTCCTCCTCCACTTGCGCCATCTGCTCCGCTATAAGCTCCCTCAATCTCGCCTCGCGTCGCTCGGCTGCTTCGGACGCCGCTATTGAAACGTTCCTATCGCCGTTTGATGCGCTGTGAATGCGCTGCGAGGGTCGGCGGGTGATTCTAACGGATGGGATTCTAGGGGAGACTCTGGCGCAAACGGTGGACGAAATGGCTTTCGGCACGGTTAAAATTTCGGGAAATGACGAAGCCATGGCGGCGGCAGCCATGGTTGCCATAGAAAGGAACGAGCTTGGGGCAAGAAAACCTCTTCGGAGTACGACTTTCGAATTTGAAGACTCCTTGAGAGCGAGGACTACGAGTGGAAACTCATAATAAATTCGAGTTCTGCTAGTCCCGCCATCATTGACGCTGCGTGGGCATGAGACATGCCTGTTATCCGCAACATGGTTGCTCGCACGGCGTCTGTATGGTTTCTTGTTGCACCTGCGGTGTAGGAGATAAGCGTAGGTGAACGTGGCACGTAAGTATGATTATGCCAAGTTCTTTTAGGTGCAAGCTATAGCGGAATACGGAAAAGGCTATGTCAATTGTACTCTATTCTGGTTTTCAGCTGAAACGTAACTTGCAAATAACGGAGATCTCCTGATTTGCTGGAACCTCACACTTCTGGTCCTCCACCGATATCCACGCCAGCACAGCTCGCGGCGTGTTTACAACCAATCAGGGGTAAGGAGCGGGTATCGAAACTGTGCTGGTTTTGTCTGGGGCTCTGTTTTCGGGCATCTCATAAGGTCGTTCGTCCCACACAGTTTTGGTGGCAGAGCCACTAGTGTACATTCCTGATCGACTCATAAGGGTTATGTGTGAACTGCTACATGTTATTCAGTAGGCAATAGGAAAATTTGCCTTTATCATAAGGATTCTTGTGCAAGTGACTCTAGGGCTTGCCGCGTCTCCAGTTTCTCATTATTCAGCGGGGTTCTCCGTGTTTCTCGTTTTTTGCTTTCCTTGTTAGGTTTTCTCGACTCTGTTCTCCTCGATCACTCCTTCCCACTCCAAGCGTTCGCGTGATTGGTTGTTTTTTATGATGAGGAGCTTAGGTCATCTTCCGAGTAGGCAAGTAGGGCCGGGTGCATTTCCTCGTCTAGGTCACGCGTTGCTGGCCACTAAAAACGCGGTTCGTGGAGGCTCGGGAAAAGTTAGAGGCGAGAACCCGGAGGAATGGAGCGGTATGTTCGCGGCTGATTCGCGAAGGCGAGTTTGGCCCAACGGTGCCGAGGTGGACAATCAGGTTCGTTCGTTTATCCTCGAGCTGCGCATTTCGCGAAGTTACGACGCGAGAACTCGGACGCTTTCGTCCTTACGTCGCAAGCTGTAGTTGAAGGTCCTTCCTTGAGTTTATGTTCCCCGTATAGCCTCGACATTATTCATATTGACGTCTCGAGGCGTAATACATGTTTTCACAGAATAGCCCTTTTTTTTTCTCGGCCTCTTAAATACATAATCGTCCTTGGTTGCACCTGATCGCAGAACTCGTTGGTGTGGATGCCAAACGCGTTCTCAGGAGCGCAGCCAGCGCTGGCGGATGAGGAGCTCCCAGGACTCGACGATCAAGAGCGACCTTATTTTCGGTATCCGACCGCAGCAGTGCAGAAAGCAATCGCAGCCGCGCAGGAAGGAACTGCAGCAGCTGGAGGAACCCTAGCAGGAGCACCAGCAGCAGGAACAAATGCCGAAAGTTTTGCCATGATTAGAGCTCGCGAGTCCACCCCAGCTCATTTCGCCATTCGCCATTCTCCTGTCGCAAGCGACGCAGCCCCAGCAGGAGCAGCAGCTGCCGAGGGTTCAAGATACAACCCCGACGCGCTCCGCATCCTTTCCGAAACCCTAGCACCACAAAATAGTCACTCTGGCTCCCCAACAGCCTCCCTTTCACTCATCCCAGCTTCTAATTATCCATCGGCTGAAGCGAACGTCGTTTCTAGAGATGGTGCCGGGTCGCCAGGATTGCCAGGATCGCCGGAAGAAAACGCTATTGGGAAAAGCGCCGAGTTGTCAGGATCGAGTAGGGTGGGACGCGACGCGACTTTAGGGGAATTGCTGCCTCCGCGAATGACGGCGCTTAGGCTGACGTGGTCGTGGGAGGAATGGATCTTGGGGCTTGGGATTGGCGCTGCGGCTATTGGCTTCGCCATGGCTCTTGTCACCAGCGCGACTGGCGGGAGGCTCGGACTGGGACGGAATATGTCCGCCGTTGTAGCCCCTGGCGGGAGGGCTGTTAGCGGGGTTGTTCTTAACGAAGCTGCTGCTGCTAGCGGGTCGGTTCTTAGCGGGGATCTTCTGGCAGGCGGCGATGCGGCCGCGGCGCCAGTGATAGTGTTGGGGGAGGAGCAAGTGGTGGGGGTCGGAGAAACCGGAAAGAAGGTTCCTTTCTACCTGTAAGTGTTGAGAGACTTTGCTGTTGGTTTCCACATGAGTGGGCGCAGTCTCTCACGGTCCCTGGTGTGCGACCTTGTCTTCTTCTCTCCCCGTTGTTCGTTCCAAGTTGTTTGCTCATTCCAAGTCCCGCATCTGGTTTCTGGCTTTGCGCCATTCTGCATTTTGCGTCGATCAGAAGGGAGGCGAGGCCAGGAGTGACTTTTGAGGTGACTTTTGAGTCAACTCAAAAGTCAGAGGCCAGGAGTGACTTTTGAGGCGCCTCTAAAACTGACGTTCTTGTTTGATTTCTGTCCTTGCGCCATTCTGTAATTTGCTTCTACCAGGAGGGAGGCGAAGCCAGGAGTGATCGAACTGTCTGCTGCCACTCTGCCTCACGTGCTGCGACTCAGGTGAGCTATCAGGTGACCTCAGGTGCTCTGAGGTTACCTCAGGTGCCCTCAGGTGACCTCAGGTGATCTCAGGTGACCTCAGGTGCTCTCAGATGACCCCAGGTGCTCTCAGGTGACCGCAGGTGCTTTCAGGTGAGCTCTTCCGTGATCTCATGTGAGCTTTCAGATCCTCTCAGGTGAGTTTAGGCGATTCAAAGCCACATTGGACTAACTCTTAAGTGCTATCAGGTCGAATCGCTTCCAGGTAGATGCGGGTGCTCTACAGTGCTCTCAGATGCTCACAAATGCTCTCAGGTGTTCTCAGGTGTTCTTTCTCAGTGTCAGGCGTCACCCTCTATGCTCGATAGAATCATGCTCCAAACACTCTGGTTCCCTTACTGCCAGGCCATGGAGGTGCCATGGCTGCATGACAGCAAGCCAGCACGACAGCACGGCAGCATGACAGCACGGCAGCATGACAGCAGGGCAGCATGACGCAATGGGCGAACAGTAATTATGTGTGCCTTCGCATCCTTCTCCTCTCTCCCTCGCCAGGCCCACGCTCGTCATGTTCTACGCGCCCTGGTGCCCCTACTGCCAGCGCATGGAGGCGGCATGGGCGCAGATGCTGCTGTCTCTATATCCCCGTCCACTCACTCATTCCCTCACCCTTTCCCTCACCCTTTCCCTCACCCTTTCCCTCACCCTTTCCCTCACCCTTTCCCTCACCCTTTCCCTCACCCTTTCCCTCACTCATTCCCTCACCCTTTCCCTCACCCTTTCCCTCACCCTTTCCCTCACCCTTTCCCTCACCCTTTCCCTCACCCTTTCCCTCACCCTTTCCCTCACTCATTCCCTCACCCTTTCCCTCACCCTTTCCCTCACCCTTTCCCTCACCCTTTCCCTCACCCTTTCCCTCACCCTTTCCCTCACTCATTCCCTCACCCTTTCCCTCACTTCCCTCACCCTTTCCCTCACCCTTTCCCTCACCCTTTCCCTCACTCATTCCCTCACCCTTTCCCTCACTCATTCCCTCACCCTTTCCCTCACCCTTTCCCACGTTTGATGTTGTGTCTCCCTCGCCAGGCCCACGCTCGTCATGTTCTATGCGCCCTGGTGCCCCTACTGCCAGCGCATGGAGGCTTGGTGCTGCTGTCTCTGTGCTCCCACACCCTGTAATGTCTCCATGCCCCCTCATATTCCCTTCCTCTCAGGCCCACGCTCGTCATGTTCTACGCGCCCTGGTGCCCCTACTGCCAGCGCATGGAGGCGGCATGGGCGGCCCTGGCGGAGAAGCTGCACCAGGAGAGCTTCAACGTGCAGGTGGGGTTGGGCTGGGAGTGGTGCAACCTGGTGCAGGTGAGTGGTATGGCTCGGGTAGGCTGCTTGCTGCAGGCGGCGTGGGCGGCCCTCGTAGAGAAGCTGCACCAGGAGAGCTTCAACGTGCAGGTGAAGGGGTTGGGAGTGGTATGGCTCGGTGCAGGTGGGTGTTATTCTAAAGACTCGTTTCAAGGTGACTGGGTATACTCCCACGCGTAGGCTGCTTGCTGGAGGCCGCATGGACGGCTCTAGCAGAAAACCTGCAGCAGGGGAGCTTCAACGTGCAAGTGAGGGTGGGGGGTGTGGGGTGTGGGGGGCTGTGAGCGCCCATGGGGATCTTATAAAGTGGCTTGGATAGGTGGAAAGAGCAGGCGGCATGGGCTGCTTTTTTTGAGGCGCCTCAAAATTTTTGAGGATTTTTGAGGCGCCTCAAAATTTTTGAGGATTTTTGAGGCGCATCAAAAATTATAAAGTGGCTTGGGTAGGTGGAAAGAGCAGGCGGCATGGGCTGCTTTTTTTTAGGCGCCTCAAAAGATTTTTGAGGCGCCTCAAAATTTTTGAGGATTTTTGAGGCGCATAAAAAATTATAAAGTGGCTTGGGTAGGTGGAAAGAGCAGGCGGCATGGGCTGCTCTGTCGGAGAATCTGCACCAGGAGAGCTTCATTTTACAGGTGAGGGGTGTTGGGAATGGTGCTGTCCGGTGCAGAAGGCGTAGGGTATGGCTCGAATATCTGCATGCTAGACAGGTGGCATGGGCGGCTCTGGTGGAGAAGCTTCAACGTGCAGGTGAGGGAGTTCGGAGTGGTGTGGCTCGGTGCAGTGCAGTAGGCACGCTTTCAGGGTGACTGGGAACGCTTTCATGGAGAGTCTGCTTACTTAACTCAACAGTTGCACCATGCAGCATGTTTTGAGGCGCCTCAAAAGTCGTCTCTTATCCCGCAAGTCTGCTTTCTGAACAGCTGCACCATGCGGCACGAGCGGCTTTGGTGGTGAACCTGCACCTAGAGAGCCGCACCTGGTGAAGGTGTTGTGAGTGGTACAGCTTGGTGCAGTGAATGGTACGGTTCGGTGCAGTGGTGGGGTTGTGCGGGGTATGCCTCGGTGCAGGTGGGGGTCTCATTCAGGACATTAGCCACGTGCTCAAGAGACAATCTACCCGCCTCCTCCCACTCACAAGCAGGTAGCACGGGTGGATGCATACCAATACCCCAAGCTCACAGGCAAGTTCACGATCCCAGGCTTGACTTTTGAGTCGACTCAAAAGTCAACAAGTTCACGATCCCAGGCTTGACTTTTGAGTCGACTCAAAAGTCAACAAGTTCACGATCCCAGGCTTGACTTTTGAGTCGACTCAAAAGTCAACAAGTTCACGATCCCAGGCTTGACTTTTGAGTCGACTCAAAAGTCAACAAGTTCACGATCCCAGGCTTGACTTTTGAGTCGACTCAAAAGTCAACAAGTTCACGATCCCAGGCTTGACTTTTGAGTCGACTCAAAAGTCAACAAGTTCACGATCCCAGGCTTGACTTTTGAGTCGACTCAAAAGTCAACAAGTTCAAGATCCCAGGCTTGACTTTTGAGTCGACTCAAAAGTCAACAAGTTCAAGATCCCAGGCTTTCCAGATTGACTGATTGCCACGTGCCAAGACCCATGACTCACACCACCTGGTCCCACCCGCATTCAGCAGGTAGCGGGGGTGGATGCATACAGATACCCCGAGCTCACTGACAATTACAGGATCCCAGGTTTTCCCACGCTCAAGCTTTGTGGTGTTCAACGGGGAAAGTGACTGACAAGCACCTAAACAAATTAATTCACCTCTTCCCCTGGCCCTGGTGATTTAACTGGTAGCAAGGGTGGATGCATACAGGTACCCCGAGTTAACGGACAAGTACAAGATCCCAGGCTTCCCCACGCTCATGCTGTTCAACGGAGAGAGTGATTGCTTGGCACCTAGATTCACAAATCAGTCCACCCCTTTCCGCCCTCTATCACCAGGTTGCCCGAGTGGATGCATACAGATACCCTGAGTTGACGGACAAGTACAAGATCCCAGGCTTCCCCACGCTCATGCTGTTCAATGGAGAGAGGCCCGTTGCGACACACAGGGGGAGGAGGAACCTGGAGGCGCTCTTTTCCTTCGTGGAGAAGCACTTCTGACAGGCAGGGAGTCTGCCTTTCAGTCTCTGCCCGGAAGGCCTTCACTGAACCTGGAGGCACTCTTTTCCTTTGTGAAGAAGCACTTCTAGCAGCGTGAAGAATGCAAATTAGGAGAGGCACTTGTGGCATTGGCTGATGGGAATTCAGATGGGAGAGGCCTGTCGCGACGCACAGGGGGAGGAGGAGGAACCTGGAGGCGCTCTAGTCCTTCGTGACGAAGCATTTCTGACGGGCAGGGAGTTGTTTTTGCATTTCAATCTCTGCCCGGAAGGCCTTCAGTGAAAGGGAGTGATGCAGCGGGAGAGGAGGAGACTTGAGGCACTGTTTCCCTTTGCCGGGAGGAGGAGCGCGCTTAGCAGTGTGGGAAATAGCATTTGCCAACGGGGAGAATGTCAGATCTGACAGAAGTCGATTGACAGATTGAATGGGGAAAGGGCGGGGGGGGGGTGGGGGGGGCGCAAGGAGAAGGGGCGAAGGGGGGACTTGGTGGGGAGAATGAGAAACGAGGTCGGCTTTCCAATTCTGAGTCAGGCTCTGATCTGACCTGAAGCACTCCTGGTGGGCTGCAGTCCTGAACCTTGGTGGGGATGTGTGGAGGGCTGCTTGCCTGATGGATGGGGCGAATCTTCCATCTGCTTATAATGGATCATGTTATAGGCGACACAGTTATGGACTAGTCACTTGTATTTTGGGATGCGTTGCTCGGGGATGGGGTGGGGGGTCAGCCACTGGGCTGTAGATGTTGCAGCAATAAAGTGAGGTCGTAGTTTTGAGTATCGCTGTAGTCTGGGTATGTTATTAAGTTGCCGGCAGTATGGTATGGGTAGTTACGGTATGGTAATATGATAGCGGGTATAATTTACAGCTTCTGGTAAACAGTTTCTGATGTGAAGCATGTAGGCGGTTTCTCAAAACACTGGCATTTGGTCTAGAGGGCTAATTGCTGAACTATAGATTACCTAAAGGCTATTATTTTGTCATCAAAAGGTGAAGGGAATGTTGTGTACTTCCATAAAGAACAGACTCATCAAGACAAATTGAGCCACCCAGCTCCCGGCAGGTAAAACGTACGGTAGTATCTGTTGGAAACAATCGGTCCTAAAGCGCTTCTACCGTGTCGAAACACCAAGGCACAAGCGAAGCAAATCATATAGAGGCACCAGCGAGTCAACCCTCGGAGGTTGAAGTAACCGCTGGAGGTTACGCGAAGGTCAAAGGTCAGCGACCTTTGACTTGACAAATACAACGCGATAGCAAGGACACACAACTGACTCGATACTGAGCAGTTGCCCGAGTCGTCACTGTATCGAACCGCAACAGCAACAGCAAAAGCAGTTACAACCGTATCTCTTCGTATTCCTTGTACTCTTATATAAACCTTTGTATTTGCTTGTTTTAATTAACTTACTTTGCCCTCACATACCAGCGCAAGGTGGTTCATAATCTTCTCTTAAGACGCTTCCGCTACATCACTTTACCTAGAGTTTCATCCTATCAAAGATCCTAAGGGGCTCTTTCAGCCCAACATGGTATGAGAGCAGTTAGGGTAAAACTCTACTACTCCTTTTGATTACCGTAAGCCCCCGGATAGAAGCGCAGGCCTAGGATAAGCGCCGGCGCTTATAAAAGGATGAGGGCGCTTATATCCGGTCCTCGATTATAAGCGCACCCCCTAGAAAAAGATTATATATTATAAGCGCGTGTTTGTTTTTTATTTGGAAACCTTTCAAATATCATAAACGAATTTCACATAATCAGGGAAATGAACTACAATTTCGAGTTCCCACACTCTGAACTCACTTTTTGCGCGTCTAGTCAGCATGTGCTGTAATTCTGTCAGGGTGAGCTGGCAGGGAATCACTCCCTGCCAAGCTGCGCGAGAATCAGATTAGCGACCCTACATGTTTTAGACTCGATTACAATCGGCAGAACGAGATATACAGTTTGGTGTAAAACAAATATATATTCTTTTTGCCATTTTATAAGCGCCGGCGCTTATAAAATTCCTCAATTATAAGCGCACCCCCTAAAAAACAGTGTTTTTTTATAACCCCAGGGGCGCTTCTATCCGGGGGCTGACGGTACAACAAGAGACATGTCTACCAGAAATGAGAGAAGCTCCTCCAACGGCTCTCCTGGTACCACTCCTACTCCAACTCCTGCCTTTGGTCTACAGACAGAGGAAGGCACATCAACAAGACCAGCCGCTGGGTCTACTGAAACACCCGCAAACCAAGGCGCGGGCTTCGACCCAAGCATGATGGAGAAATTCTTCTCCTTCATGTCCTTCTACGAGCAGCACCAACAAGGAGTACCTGCAATATCAAATAACAGCAACAACAACAACGTGACGCCCATGAGTCTCGATGGCTCATCCTACGCGCGCGGAAATCAACAACAACAACCTACCTTCGCTCCGTACGAGCCCCAGCGCGGCTCCGTCAGCTTCACGCCACAACCACAACCTGCACCGGGACAAGAAAGAGCGATGGACGCACTACAAGTTCAGTCGCAGTTCGCGCACGTCTTAAAACTGCAAACGACAAAACCCTTCGACGGGAAGGACTTCTTTACCTGGTCATTCGAATTCGAGCTGATGATGGAAGGAGCGCAAATTGTTGGCTTCTTTGACGGGTCCCTGCCATACCCAACAAACGGCACATAGTATGAGAAGCAGCAGTACACCTATCAATCAATGATGGCGTACACGATACTACTGAGGAACATCACACCGACTCAACAGCAGAACATAAGGACTTACCGCGGATATGGCAAGTCTGCGGAGCTCGCGAACAACCACTTGTAGAACCTGTATCAAGCAACAGACAGCGTAAACCAAAGTCGGTTAATGGCGCAGTTGACAACAATTGAGATGAAATCAGGCGAGAAGGGAATGGCGTATATCAGTCGCTGCCGCGAGCTGCGCGACAAGCTTCTTCAATGTGGAGGATCGATTTCAGAAGACGCCTCCGTCACGGTTGTCATCGGCGGTCTTGGTCCTCACTGGCGCTCCACTCGCGCCATACTACGAGCACACTGGAGAATCTCCGAAGCAGCACTCTGCGCCGAAATCCATGCTGAGCAGCAAGACATGGACCTGCAAGAAGAATGACACAAGAAAAAGACATCAGTACCCGAATTCGCGTTCCACACTCAGCGACG